TTATTAGCCCGATACCAATGAGAGGGCGAGAGAGTTGAAAGAGCATTGACCTTGCTGCGAGATGGACAGCGTCAGGTCTGAGGTCACCGGTGCAAGGAAACAACGGGCGGCGCGACGGTGAGGTGTACAAACTAGTGTAAGTACCGTGTGACTGACGGTGAGGTGTGTTCCTGGATTACTGGATGGACCGGGGGCTAGCGTAAACAGTAAACAAGCTTGGCATGGGCGCAAAAAAAGAAGGTTCCCTGGCTGGAAAAGGAGGAGCCCGGAGGGTCAAGACTCGAGAGGGGGAGGTTCATCTCATTTTCTGGGTCTGGTGCTTGGGAAGTGTCTAATGTCGCTTAGCTAATTTCCCGGGCGCACCACTCGCTCCTCCCCCCTTCTCAAGTTGCTCCTCCAGCTGGGAGGCAACTGCAGCTTACAAGGTCCAACTCGCTCCTTCCCCCCCGCCGCACCCGCCGATCCCTCCCCAATCAGCCATCTCAGTGGACTGCGCACCTCGGGTACCTTGCAGCTCCGCCTCTGTTAGCTTCTAGAATGCAGTACGTACACAGTACCTTACCTTACGGTCTGCATCAGTCCTTCTTCCTGCACATCCAAAACCCGTTTTATACTATTGTGTGAGGTGTACGAAGTACTCCGTACAGAGTAGGTGGGAAGGAGAGAAAGAGAGACATTATGGTGCGGTACTCACCTCGTGCTCACCGTCGAACCGTTCCTTCTTCGTTGCTTCTTCTGGCCCTCCGCCACTGGTTGATGCAAGACTCAAGAGAGCCCAGCCCAGGCTGGATTCTTTCGCGAACCACACACTCTCAGTCACACTCTCAGTCTCTCTGGCACTTCCAGGCTCCGTCGACGGTGGATTCGGTTGGACCGTTGGCCAAGTCCCCTTGATCACGCTTCTACTCGCTCATTTGCTGTCATGTCCGCCTCTGGACTGGATCTGCTTGGCCTTCCCGCCTTGCGGTCTTCCAAGAGCCCAAAACGACAACCCCCCCCAACTATGCTTAACCGGGAGGGCCATTTCGCCTCCCTTTTCCTTGCGCTGTCAGTCTGACAGTCATTCATGACGAACCATGGCCAAGGTGCTTCTGGTCATCTCATTGACTCGACTACAAGCCCAGTCAAGATTGCCAACCCGTATCCTTTCTTCAAGCCCCTGACCGAAGCCCTCTCTCCGGATGGCAACTTCTCCGTTGTGATCCTCAACCGACAGAGTCCCTTTGCTTTTCTCGAATCCCATAGTCCCGATAATCCCCAGACACTCCACCAGAAGTCTGGGACTCTCTGAAGCTGAGATTCGTTTCTGGCTTCTACCCAGTGGTACCTCTCCACCTCCTTGTCCCTCAGTCTTTCTGTTGTGACTTGCTGCCGAGGACAGGGGCTTGTTTGCCGTCGAGTTGCTGCTTGTATCCGTAAGGAACACAAGAAACCCCTCAGTTTGAGTTGAAGTAGTGTTGCTCTTACACGTTGCCCAATGCTTCTTTATCCCGCAGCCATCAACAGTTCGTGGTCACCAACCAACGGCTCCCCGACTTTCATGGTAAACATAGTGTCACCAGCATCATGGAATACACAAGACGAATACACACACAGTCCCCTCCAATCCCCCCTCCTCCTATGCCAAACTACCAATCTAATGGCCCGATGCCATCCAACGTAAGGTCATTGGACGCTAGTCTGCCCGCACTTTGGCCCATTCATCCATCTGGAAGTGGGCACACACACACACACACACACCGTTCGCGCACACACCCCGGCCCAGGGCCCCCGGGGACATGCTAGACTTCTCATGGTCGTACCCATGAAAGTACGGATACTAGCCTTCTACCTAATCTAACCACCATCACAATAATAACATCCCGGTCCCGCCAGTTTTTTTTCCTCCTCTTTCTCTTTCCCTTTTCCTTTCCTTACGAAAACACCGTCAAATGAGTTGATGCCGTCAACGTAGTTTCGTCGTCCCTTTCGTCTCTACACGCGCAAACCTTCACTACCGCTTCACTCTTTTAGCGGGCACTCGCTTCCCAAAGTCGAATAATACTCAATTCCTCTACTCAAGAAAAAAAAAGGCAACTTAATTCACCATGAAGGGCTCCATCCTCGCAGTCGCTGCCGCGACCGTCACCGGTGTCACCGCCGCCGCTCACCGTCACGCCCACGCCGACCTCTTCAAGAGAGGTGCTGACCAGGCCTCTGTCTGTGTTCCCGGCTGCACCACCATCTACACCACCATCTATGGCGAGCCTACGCGTATGTATCTCTCAATTTCACTCACATTCACTATCCGAGACCATGCTCGCTCTATAGCCCTATAGAGTCTTGGAATGCGGAGTCGGATAAAGCTGGTTTCGATCTTTTGTGCTGACTTGATGATCGACAGTGGTTCCTAACCCTCCCAGCAAGCCCAGCAGCAAGTCTGTCGCCAGCGCCCTTCCCTCGGCGCCTGCGACCACCAAGGCCGCGGAGAAGCCCACGTCCACCGCGAAGCCCGTGGTGCCCGTCCCGACTCCGGTCCCTGAGCTCTGCCCTACCCCGGGTACCTACACCTTCCCGGCCACGACCATCACCGTGAACCAGACCACCACCGTCTGCGCTCCCGAGACCACCAAGGTCCCTGCCGGTGTCCACACTATCGGTGGTGTTACCACCGTTGTTGTCGAGGCTACCACCGTCGTCTGCCCGTACGCCACCGAGAAGACCAAGAGTGGTGTTGTCACCAGCGTCATCGAGACCACCACCTACGTCTGCCCTACCCCTGGCACTTACACCATCGCTCCCACCACCACGACCGTGACCGCCCCGACCACCTGCGTCTACCCCGTCGTCACCGAGATCGTCCCCGGTACCTACGTTCGCCCTCCCGTCGTGACCACCATCACCGAGACCAGCGTCGTCGTTGTCTGCCCCTTCACCAGCCAGAACCCCGTGCCCACCAGCAGCTCCGTCCCCGTTGTCGTCCCTGCTCCCGCGCCCACCACTGAGGCCCCCAAGCCTGCGCCTACCACCGAGGCTGCCAAGCCCACCACTCAGGCTCCCGCTCCCGTTCCCACGACCTCCGCTGTCGCTACCCCCGAGCCTGTTCCCACCACGGCCAAGACATCCTCTGCTGCCGCTCCTTCCTCCTCTGCCCCCGCCACCGGCGGTGGCCTCGGAGGCAACAACGGCGACCACTGGGCCATCACCTACACTCCCTTCTCTGAGGATGCCTCTGGATCCTGCAAGACCGCCGACCAGGTCGATGCCGACATCTCCACCATCAAGAACTCCGGCTTCCGCACCGTCCGTGTCTACTCCACCGACTGCAGCACCCTCGAGAACGTCGGCGCCGCCTGCAAGAAGTACGGCCTCCAGATGATCATTGGTATCTTCGTCAAGGAGTCTTGCGACCCCAACTCCGCCGACATCAAGAACCAGGTTGACGCCATTACCGCCTGGAAGCAGTGGGGCATGGTCGAGCTCGTCGTCATTGGTAACGAGTGCATCTTCCAGGGCCGCTGCTCCGCCAGCTCCTTGAAGCAGCTCATCGTCTCCACCAAGGCCGCCATCACCGCTGCTGGCTACTCTGGTCCCTACACCACTGCCGAGACCGTCGGCGTCTGGCAGCAGTCCGATGTCATCTCCGAGATCTGCGATGTTATCGACGTCGTCGGAGGTCAGATCCACCCCTACTTCAACGCCGAGACCGCCGCCACCGACGCCGGTACCTTCGTCAAGGGCCAGATCGAGCTCCTCGAGAGCTCCCAGATCTGCGGCACCAAGCCTGCCTACAACCTCGAGTGCGGATGGCCCTCCGGCGGTAACTGCAACGGCAAGGCCTGCCCCGGTACCTCTGAGCAGGCCACCGCCATTGCCTCCATCAAGGAGCTCGCCGGTGGAAAGACCGTCTTCTTCTCTTTCCACAACGACGAGTGGAAGGACCCCGGCACCTGCGGTTGCGAGCGCACCTGGGGCTGCGGTGACCTCTTCTCCGCTTAAAGAGAATTAGCATCACGAGACCAGGAACAAGAAAGGGATATCGGAGAACAACAAATGGATAGCCTTCCCCCCCAATTATTTTCTAATTCAACGTTCGGCATTTGAACATACAAAAGAGACCAACCCCCTCTTCCTTCCGACGTTGCTTTGAGGTGTACCCATGAATCCAGATAAAAAAAGACAAAGAAAACCCCCCTTCCTTTCCAACGAAGACGATTTGCAACGTTTCCCTTTCAAGTGTACAATGACAATTGGATACCCCAAACAGTAGTGGACTTGGAGTGATCCTTCCTCCTTGCGGTATCGAAATCTACATCCATATAAATGTATTGCCTTTAGCTTAATTATCTCTGTATATATATGTGTATATGTAAGCTCTATTTCGATTCACGTACGGGAGGACAGGCCAAGTCCTCCGACACGTGTTTGTATAAATCCAATACCTTGATATATCTCGAAAGCGCCATCATTAATGTAGTGCCCAAGGCTGGACTTGCACTCGCCCAAACACCAATTCACGCCCAAGCCTCGTTCGTAACTCCGTGGTCTCCCGCAACTGATTTAGAGTCTACGACACAAAGCCCACAATTGCACCTCTCCATCTCCCTGCCTTGCTTTGAGGGGATCATCAACCATCGGTAACAAATGTTCAAAGAGCAAAAGGCAAAAAGGGAGACAGGCAAAAGAGCAAAGATACCATCCGTAACATGACGTTGCGGTTGAACCCCTGGCTCCCGATCTTGATCTCATCTTCTCTCCTCCGAACTGTTGGTCCGTGAAAGGGCAACTCGAGCTGGGACGTTTCGCATACCTCACGTGCCTACGTTATGTCTAACAAGGAGAAATGAGATGAGGGGGAGAAAGGAAGACAAAAAAACACACAAACATAAAGAGCCATAATGCACATACGAATAAAAGCAAGGTCATGAAAAGTGGTATTTCGTCAACGTCTTTATCGGGATATATTCCGGCCCTCCCCGTCGCCTCCCCGAATGGATTAATCCCAATCCCCCCACCCCACCCCCTCCTTTGGCCTTTTCATGGAATCCATCTTCTAGTAAACAGACCGAGCAATGAAATACCAACTCCCCAAAGAATGAAGCCAAAATGCTGAAAAATCCGAGGTTCCGAGGTTTTCATCCATCATGTTATAAAAAAAAAGTAATGTGTATCCGCATGTCCCGCCCTGCCAAAAAAGGATGCGACCAGAAAACCAATGGCGGTTTCTACGCAACCGAGTGAAATACTGACACCGCCACGTCCCTGGTAAGGATATCGCGGACAAGAAGAAGAACCGAGAAAGCCAGCAGACACCAACCGATGCCTCGCGTCCTTTACCTTCCCCACCATCCCTCCGTAACGTCGTCAGGAAACCCTCCATGCAGTATGAACAGTGAATACGCTGTGCTGATTGTCAAAATATGAAGAAAGGAAATGAAGATGATGCTTGTAAAAGTCTCGGACCCTGGAAATGTTTTCCTGACCGTCGTTTCCCAAGGCCAGCGCACCAAGGCACGGGCACTGTCTATATGTCGAACACACACACACACACACATCGAGTGTGGGCAACTCGAAGGTTCGAAAGCCATGGTAGAGCTCGTAAGTTAACGCCAAATCGACCAATTTTGCCATGACGCGCCGGCCGAAACAACGCAAAACGCCGACGGCTAGTAGATTAATGCATCCCTGACGCAGCCAACATTGATAGATGTAGCTGACGACAATGAGGGGGTATCATGCCCTTTCAGAAAGGCTCCAAATCATCAAAGAGGTCGTACCCTCTTTCCCGCTGAGCTGGCAGTTTCGATTGAACCATCTCTGCATCAGATAGTATTCCGCTCTGGCCGGGCCTCCACCAAGGATCCATGGCCGCCGCTTGATGTGCGTACTCAAAATCGGAGCTGGACGCTATATCGCAACGCTCCAGTTGAACCAGCCCTCCACGAGTGCGATCCATGCAGAGAATATTGAGGTCCTGGCCGTCGTTGGTGAACTCGACACCTCCAATCTCCCCAAAGATATCAAATGTCTGCTTGTGGGCTAAACTTTGAATGTCGATGATGTTGACGTAGTCGGCTTCCTCGGCTGCCACGAGAACTTGAGGGCCGCTGCCGGTGGGAGAGAACCTCAAGCTGCGGACACCTGCCATCTCGGATCGAATCGTGGTGAGTGGTTTGCTGGTACCGTCTGAATTGGTCCACATTCGAGCATCCCAGAGTTTCACGCTCATGTCCTGGAAACCGGTTGCAACGGTCCAGCCATTGTCTGACCAGTCGCACGCGAACCCAAAGTCACGGTGGCCTCCCAACTCTTGCAATATTTCACCGGTGTCCGCGTTTGCAATCAGAACGTTGTAGTTATCGCCGACCATTACGCGCAGACGACGATCAGCGGACAGCGCGGAGCAGTTGATGGGACAGCCGTATTGCGTATCCAGAACAAACTTCTCGGTGGCCACATCCATGACACGGAAACCTTGGTCGTTGGACGCGAAGGCGGCCAGCGGTGAGGATGAGTTCCTGGAAGCATGGATCTGCAGATGGTTGGTTATGCCACTTACGTGGCTGGTAATTTGTCCTTCGGTGTACTTCTTGTCCTGGCTGTAAATGTTTCGCATGCAGTACTCTCCGTTGAAAGTACCAGCAATCAAGATGCCGCAGTTGGCGTCCAAAGTTGAAATTTGTACACCAATCATATCGTTGAGGTCCATGGCTACTTCACTCTCTCCGGATACGGGGTTGATCCGGTGAACGGCTCGCTGACCCGGGTAGAAGGCATGGCTGCGCCCAGCGCATGCTAGAATATTGCGCAGCTGAAAATGGGCCAAGTGAACGTTTTGACGGATGTCCATGCGACGAAACCTGAAGAAATCTTCGGTATTTCGTATAATCCTGTCTGGCAGATGAGGCTGTGATGATCGTGTCAGCTTCAGTTCTGGGTTCGTGTTGTTTCCCGAGGCTACTTACCGCCCATATGTCCGAATCTGTCCTGTTGGTGTAGTTCTTGTAGTCCAGGCACCTCCGCTCTCGAGCATTCTTGCGTGTCACCCCTAAAGCTTCCCAGTCGATGCCCTGCGCGTCGTATGCATCGCCCTCCAGATCCGAGTATCGTACACGCGTGACATCCCGCGAGACCTGTGCATTGATTTGACGAATCCCAGGACTAGGTCCTCGGGACTGAAATCCGTTACGCCAGGCCCAGCCCTTGAGAAAATCGGTCAAACCAGGATTTTCCGGGCCGAGAGTGCTTGGATTAGGATTGCTGAGGGCCGGCGGACCTGCATTTTCCCATGCTATTTCGTCCTCGTTAGCAACCACTGCTTGGAACTGCTGGAGCTGCTCGGCTACGGGTGGATAGAAAACATCATCGTCGTCGTCGTCATCATCCATGGCTCCAGCATGGAGCATGGGATGGAAAGGAGTCGTATCAAGCGGGGTGGGATGATGAGCTCCTATCGGATCAAGAAATGCATGACCAGCTGCAATCGATACGTTCCAGTAGTTTACCATGTGAGCAGGCGGCCCCGTGGACGTGTGCTGCTCTTGTGGCGAATGTGCGGGTTGCTCGAAGTGATGATTCCCTGAGAACGACTGAGGGGGGTCCATCTCGGCCTCGTTGTCGGACATGGGAGACAGAAGGCTGGTGACTGTCATGACATGATCCAAGGGAGCACCTCCATCGCTGTCGCTCATGTCTAGGTCGTCATCCTCATCCTCCACATCGTCGTCGTCGTCATCGTCGTAGTCTTCATAATCGTCGTAGTCGTCGTGTATAAATGAGCCAGGCTCGTGGTAGTAGGATGAGGGTATCACGGGAAACGTTTGGCTGTAAGAAGAGTACGCTGCTTGCCCATGTGTTGGCGGATCGTGAGGCTGTTGCTGCTGCTGCTGCTGGTTGGGTTCGCGGTGGAGGTGGTATTGTGATTGTTGGTCGGAGTAAGTGTCGGCTGGAGGCGGGGCGGACCCGAGGGCTTGGTGATGGTTTGAGGAAACGGATGTCGCCTGGGCCTGAGAAGGCTGGGATGCCGTTTCTGAGGTTCTCGGTCGCATTGTGATCTGTTCAGGTGAATGCCGTAGCCAGCGAGGGCCGGTCGAAGGACATCGAGGGTTGCTGCACAAGGGAGAGAAACACCCGTGGTCGGGTCGGATAGATGCGTCCTCTTTTGTGGTTGCTGTTGCGGCTGCGAATGGAAGATGACGATTGTCTCCCTCCAGAGCCGACACCTCTGTGGACAAGGCAGCAGTTGGTGTTGCCAGTCAGACGTCCGACTTATTGAGCAAGGCCCGTCTCTTTGGCCTTCTCCTTCCAAACCAGACACAACAAGTCCCAACCGACGCCGATGCAGAAAGGGTGTGCGACGTCTCTATTGAAGGCGGTAACAGTAGACAACCGAGTTCGAGGAAGTGATGGCAGACGCCAGTGAGCGAGAGGAGCAGCGTGTCAGCGACGTGCAAAGATTCAGAGTTGTTGTTGCGGAGGTTGTCGGCGGTGGTATGAGGGAGAGATGTGGAAAGACGAGGGCGCTGACGGCAGCCGTTTGGTGCGGATGTTGGCTGGGAATGCGGTCAGGCGGAGAGGCGGCGAGATCGAGTCCACCTCAGCAGTGGTGTTGTAGCAGGGCGGGAGCGGGACTGGGACCCGAGCGGGATGTCTTTTGGCTGGGATTCCAATGGAAGCGACAAGGGAGGAGGACAACTCCGACGGGCAGTGGGCAAGGTACTCCCTCAAGGTACTACGTAAGGTAAGGTACCTTACTGTACTCCGTACTGCGTAGGTATATGACTGTGTATGGGAGCGCCAGATGGGTGGGTGTTGGCGGCGTAGCGCTTTTGTTGGTAAAAGCAGCCCGTAGCAAAGGAAAAGGATAAAATAAAACAAAAAAGGCGCGCCAGCCAGATGGAGCTGTGGAAGGCAGCATCTCACCTAAGGTACCTATCTCAAGGTAGGTATTTCCTCAGCTGGGCCCAGCACACCTCAGCGGTAACAGCAGCAGCACAAAGGTACGGTAAGGTAGGTACCGCTGCGAGTCCCGAGGCGGCGAGTTGGTTGAGTCGCAACTGAACCCCCTTGGGGCAGGCACCACCGCACCCTCTTCCACGACGCTTACCTCAAGGTATGTCAAGCCTGGTACTTTCTCGCCTCGGAAAGATACCTTGTCTCGCATACATCATGCACCACACCAAAAAGTACTCGCGGTTAAATCAAAGTCGATAATCCTTCGGCCTTTCATCCTCATGGTGCTGTGACAGGGTCTGATCCCTCAGCTGGGCTGCTTTGCTACCGCCTTCGGATGCCAACTTTTACCTTCCAATCCATTAGCAAGCACAAGTTCAATTGCAGATGCTGCATGAAGAGAACCACCCACACACTTCACGGCCAAAACCTGGCACATTTACTGCGTACATTCACCTCGAGTTATCTGCAGAGTACAATGTGCGGACCTTCTCTGTTCCGACCCAAAGAGTACAAAGTAAGGCGGCTATTGTTCGCCAGATCCCATGCGGTTTGCTACCTCAATGGCTTCATTCTTGAGACGACATCCACGGAGCTGGAATTGAATTATCAACAATAGCTCAGCCACAGCAGTCGAGTGGCATTCAAAGGAACCACAAGCGAGAGACATTGTACGTAGTACTGTGATTGAACTGGGTTGCTGATGCCCTTCGTACGAATACAGGAGCAAGGAGCAATGGCGAGCGATATCTCCACACACCGATGCCGGGGGTGCACACCCACTCTCACCAGCCAACCTCGCAGGCTTGTCCTGCCGACGTGGACCCTAGTCCTAGTCCCAGTTCCAGTCTGGTCTTTTGGAGGTCAGTCGGCCTCGAGCTGTGCGGCACGCCTTCGCCTTCACCTCTTGCTTCTTTGTAAAAAGACACGAGGGACCGAACCGCTGAGAAAAAGGGGGCGCTCGGTCTGGAAAGCGCCTAATCATGAGCTGCCTTGCAGTGTGCGACGAGCGATGCTATGGGACGCCACCTCTCAATATCATATGCATGGCTGACTCTGACGGGAGAATAGTGTTCGTGTGTGCTAGGCTGGCTGGCACAAATGGGCACCTTTTGCTGCGAATACAGGCCGGGCACGAATGAGACGAAGAAATCATTACCGCTCTGCCGCTTTGGAGTTTGGACGGGAGCTCCCACCTGACCAGCCAAAGCCTCATGCTCCCGTCCTGCCACCTAAGGTCGCACAAGAAGGGTGCCTTGCTGGCTTGCTTCCCAAAAGATTATCTTGTAAGAGGCGAGTCGCCGCAAGTAGAAGGCAGCGGGGGCGAGTGCTTTCAGTTTCATGCCGAATAACACGGATATCCCACCCGGTGAAGGCAAAGATGGAGATGCTCTTCTCTCGTTCTAGCTTCTCCCCCCACACACACATCAACTCACTGCACATGTTTTGTGCCATTCTCCCTCGTGGGCCTCAAGGGCCTGCATAGTTGCATCGCTCCCTCAGCTTCGCGGCTTGCCTGACGTCACGGCCGAGGTGCCGTTGTGACGGGTCAGCAATGGCATCCAACGGCTTCAATTCAAACTGACTCTCACACTGCACTAGTTGGTCATGAGCAGACGCAAAGAAGCCACCCACATCGACAATGGCGTCCCGACCTCATTCTAGTGCGCGAATAAACCTTTGACCTGCCGCAAGCCTCCTCGACACCGCAGATCCTACCCCGAGATCCAATCACCCACCGGTCGCAATCCGATGGCCCATCTTTGCCATTTCGAAAAGAATCTTGATCCCGCGGTTCTCGTGTTCAGCTTCTGAGGCTCCTACCTCCGGCTTACCAGGCATCCTACCTAGGCCACCATCTGGCATTGCTCACTTCGTACGATCACCTTGGGTCGGTCATATTTGATGTTGACGAAATTCGCATCTTTCAAGCTTCGCGGAGGGCTCGCCCGGTCTCCAATATGGGCGATGTGATCTGTCACCCAGTGTTCGTTTCTGGTCCTTGGGGCTCGGGTCTGGGCATACCAGGATGCTAGCCCACTCATGTAAGTCGTTGAAATAGGAAAACGGCCAATGACTAGACCTTCACCGACTGCCACCTGGCAGCTGCGGCCATGAGCAAAGGTCTCGGTTCATACGGAGTACAGACTGCAACTTCTTTTCGGCGGTCGGTCTCCTGACTCCCCGCTCACTTCCACGTTCTAAGCTACAATCGGGTGTGCAGAGCATCGATGGGGTACTATAGAACAGACAGCTGGCGCTGCTTAGACTTCTCGTAAGTTGCAACGTTCTGAGCCCTCTAACCCCATCGACTGGACATGTTCTTTGCCCAGGCACACCTATAAAAGCTGACATAACCCTTGAATCCAGCATCCTACCCAACATCTGACCCGGCTGCGACCTCATCAGGATTCATCAAGCCGCATCGACCTACCGAAAGAGCCCGACTGCATCCGGATCCTCAATTTTCCCTGCCAGCCCGTCGACCATCAGAGCCCACCCCCAAGGGCCCCAGCCACGCGCGCGTGACAGGAGGACCGTTGGGGCATGATAAGTCACATTCGACAGCATGCGCTCCTCGAGTTTCAACCTCCCACTGCTAACCCATTTCCTCCATGACTCCGGTCCTCAGCTCCGCACTTCTTTTCTTTTTCCAGCGCTCGACATTGCCCGTTGTCTCTGCCTGCCTGGTCCCTTGCCTGATGTGTAAGCAGTAACTTGAGGGACAGCAGGGGAGGAAGGACGATTGCCGCTTCTCCCACATATTTGGTGCTTACGGATACATGCGAGTGCACAAGACCTGTCAGCTCCAGTCAAATCACTTTCGGTCAGCACGCAGGATATTTCAGCAAGTACGTGCGTGCGACTGACCGGGGCCGGAAGGTTTGGACAAATCAAGACCGCCAAAGACCAAGATGTTGTCGTTGCCATCGGCCGACCCCGTTGAAGACGCATTCTGTACCCGTATCCATATCCTTAGCTGATGCACTTTGGCAACTGGAGGTCTGGAAACCTTGCCAATAACATGAATCAACATGGCCGCTTGTTTTGCCTACTAGCCGTTTCCTCGCCGACTTCATCTACCCATGTCGAAAGAGAAGATGTACTTGTCATCGGCGCTTCAGCTCATCGGCTCGCACTCGTCTCTTGCCTTGGCCTCTGAACCTCTGAAGTCTGAATAAGTAGAGTGGCGGGTATTCCGGACTGGAAGGAAATTCAGGGCCAGATCACACCTGGACACCCGACACAGCAAGCTACCACCCAAACTCGTGGCCCTGCACCTAGGGTAGAAGCATACAACCATCCCACAACCACACCGGATATGAGGTGGGAAAAGAAATAATTAACAGTGATGAAGTCTGAAAGGGGGTTCCAGTCCTCCCAGTCCCTCCCGATCCCACCGGGCGAAGCTTGGCGGGTCAAAGGCCGTGCGTAAAATCGTCAATCGATCAGCAAAATCCGCACCGTTGCCGCGAATAACGAACGCACCGAGGGACGACATTTGCAGAGAAGCTAATGAGAATGCGAGCGGCCAAGGAAAGAAAAGAGACATTCGCAGACGGTAAAATGCAAAGGGGCCACGAGGGAAACTGGGTAAGGACCAATGTCTCGGCTACCTGCAGCTATTGTGCCCTTCTTACTAAGTCTCTCTCTCTCTCTCTCTCTCTCTCTCTCTCCGGTCACCCTTCTATCCATTATGGAGCGTTGTTGCCAGCCACCCCCGTCCGAAGTCTGTGTGGTTTTTAGAAACATCCCTTTCTTTCTCGGAGGTTGATCATCATACCCTTTTCTCATTCCAGGCTTCCAGTCCGTCCGTCCGTTCCCGTTCCCTTCTCCACAATCTCACCGGTTTACTGGGATTTCTCCCACACCTGGTCGTGCTGGTCCAACTACCTAGCCATAAGATCCGTCCCGCGTTTTTTTTTTTTTTTTTTTTTTTAATTCATTTCCAACCTCCCCCCTTAACCCCTCCCCATCCCGTCCCATCCCGTGGCTTCCATGTGCGATGGGATGCGAAAATTGTGTTTAGTGAACATCGCTTGTTGGCCACGTCGGACGGTCGAAACATACTCGTCCAGACTAGTTCCGGGCAACAGTGAACGGGATCAAAAGCCGGGGAGTTCATACAACTCATCTACATCACAGTGCCATCATCAAGGAACCAGCGTAAGAAAGAGCGAGAAAACGAGAAAGGAGAAAAGAACATTTTACCCTCTTCCTCATTTTCCTCTCCCTTCCTCTTGTCTGTGTGTGTGTACAGTGTACAGCGTGGCTGCCTCCCTCTCAACTCTTGTAACACGAGAATTCCCATGTTCGTCAAATCACAGTCCGCCGTGAGGTCACACGGCATTTACACCCAATATTGCTTCTTTTCCAACATTGTGTGTGTGTGGGAGTATCGTATACGGGAGAAGATATGCGTGCGTAGATTATATAGTGTGTATGGGTCTATCTATTCACCCTCCAATAATCCGAGAAAATCCCTTGCCCCCCAAAGAAACGCCCGACGTATTGGCGTTTGCTCTCTCTCGGCCGAGTCATCTCAGACAATTGTCGCAATCATCCAAGGGCAACGGTGATGATGGAGGGTAGGTGATGACTCGCAAACCCTGCCTTCTTTCCTCTTTCCTGGTAATGCTTGCATGGTTGGATGGATGGACTGTGTTGATACTAGCAATGTCGACCGGGGCAGACTAGATTGATGTTTAATACAGTGGCTCATGATTCGCGATACTGATGCCATGCGCGAACCGATGCGATCGGCTCACGGATAGAAGTATCTCCAAAGACTGGAGAACATGCTCCCTGCGAGACGTCTTCCGTCCCGCGTACTGGGCAGCGGCGGCCTCCGGGAAACTCAGGAATATCCATGGTCGCCTCGTCATCATAACGAGGAGAAGCACAAAGTGAGGCTTCGCGCCTTTATCAAGGAGATGGACAACGGCACGGGATTCGGGGGAAACGATAATCAAGCTCCAAGTTGCGGCAATAAAGAACAGCGTCAATACAGTTTTGCTCCACCCCGGCTTCTCTCTCTCCTTTATTACAAGTTGGCCGAGCCATTTCAATTATACGCAATGCTCATCCCTCCCCTTTTTGGTTCATCATCAGGAAATAAGTGAAAAGAGGCCTCATGTGATGTGCGCCTTTTCGTAAAAGTCCCCAGTTAAGTATATCCTCATGCTTTGAAACAGAAAACGCCCGGCCGTGTGTGATTTTGCTTTTTATGCGTCAGAGTAGTACTCGTCTTGGTACTGGTGGCCCAGCGGCGCCGACCAGGTGTTGCCACCCCCGACGACGTTCTCCTTGGAACCCCAGTAGTTGTTGCGCGTCCGGCGTTCGCGCTCAAATTCGGCCCATCTCTTCATCGTGATCTTGCTGCTGTCAAACTCGCCCTCGTACTCGAGACCGGCCTTCTTCGTCTTCTCGCCCGCCGTCTTTCTGGTATCTCCCCAGGAGAAGTCGTCAAACTTCCAGAACGCGTACGTGGGAAGGACAAAGTTCCATAGGGGCAGCGAGCAGAGGTAGATAAGCATCCACACGACGTACGACCAGGAGTGAGCGGTCAAGACGATGAGCACAGCGGGAAGGCCAAGAATCAGGGCAAGCAGAACCAAGGGGATGATCTGCGGAGGCGAATTGACAATGGAGATGATGACTGGAGAAGTTGTTAGCTGGGTATCAAATAGAATAGGCGTCTTAGATACTCACCGACGTAGAAAGTAAATGCAATAGCAGCGGGCAGGACGAGAGTTCCCATGAGCTCGATGAAGATGACAAACTGCATACTGAAGCAGAAAGTACCACAAAGGTCACGAACCAAGACCAGTTCCATCAGGTTGTGAATTGTCGAGTTGATCCATCGTCGACGCTGCGAAAGCAAAACGGCAAAGGTGTCGGGCACCGTGGTCTTGCAAACGGCTTGGGGCACGAACACCTGCTTACGCTTGGGGAAGGTCCGGAGCATGAGAGTTGTCAGGTATCGATCCTCACCGAGCAGAAGCAAGTTCTTCTTGTGCAGGGTGTCAACCACGTTCTCAGAGTAGTGCTCAACGATGTCCGGGTTGGCCAAGATGGGCACCCAGTAGTCCTGGGCTCCCTTGGGCGCCTTGATGCGGTACATGCAGAAGCAACCGGGCAAACAGGTGACACCGCCAAAGACGGACTCGAAAGACTTGGACAAGTGGTGAGAGATGAAGTACTCGAAGACCTGAATGGCGGAAACCCAGCTGTCACGCTTGTTGGCAATCTTCGTCTCACCGCAGAGACCCATGATTTCGGGATCCTTGACCATGGCAGAAACCATGTGCGTCAGACTGTCGGGGAAGACCTTGGTATCGGCGTCGACCATGAGAACAATTTCGTAGAAGTCGGGTGATATACCCGTGACCTTCCATAGACCGTTGAACATTTCGTACTCGAGCTCTGTCATGCGCTCATCGAACATGACCTTCTGAAGGAAAGACATGAGAATGATCTGACTGTCACGCTTACCACGGTTGCCTGGCTTGGACTTGGTCGCCTCATCGGGTGTACCACACTTGACAACCAGAAGAACGGGAACTCTTTGCTGCTTCTCGAGCGGGATAGCAGATTCGTTGCCGTAGTCGTAGAAACCGGAGTAGATCTTGGCCATGTTGTGTCGCTTGGAACCGCTCGCAACCGCAACGTAGGAGAAGGGTTCGACTTCCTCGGGAAGAATGGTGTGGTCCTTCATCATAGCCAAGCAGTAGTCAGGAGTAGACATGGACTCGCCCTTGCCCTTGATGATACCGTCACAAATAATGACGATAACCTTGTGGCTGTTGGGGTAGTCGGTCATGGCGATAGAATCGAGAGTGGTTCGAATACCAAGGTGACCTTCAGAGTAGGCGGTAACAAGGCACATGGTGTGGGCAAGAGGGTAACCAAAGGGCATCCAGTCGGCGGGCGGCTGAGGCACAACGGCTTCGTGGATGAAGCCAGCAGGCCCAGGACCTTCGGTTGAGGGTACGTTGCTGGTGTAGGGATCTGAGCGAAGGAAGCTGGTACGACTGTCGTTGCCCTGGCGGTACATGGCGTTGGAGTGCATCATGTTGCTGCCAGCACCTGAACTGGCCATGGTAGTAGGCATCCTGCGTCCACCAGCCTGCGGTGCGGCACCAGCTCCATAGACAGCGGAGAACCGAGAAGTTGTGGGCAGGAAGGTACTCTGACGTTTGCTCGTCCGATCTGAAGAGCCATTGACACTGCTTCCGATATCGCCAGGTAGTCTGGGAGGTGCGCGATAGATGTCTTCAGACCAGTCCTCAATCTGTTGATTGCGCTTGCGCTTGTCCTTGGTCTGAGATGTCTTGGCGGCGGCGTACGTTCTGCTGATGAACCATTGGAAGAAGACAGCGAGGACGAATCTCGTCAACACGACAGCGAGAATCAGAACCAAAGAGACGTAGAGAACGACCTTGGACGCAATGCAACCCACAGTGTCAGTATCGACTGATCCGACCTTGATAATCTCCTCGAAACATTCGGCAATCTGCTTGTCGCCCGAGGCCTGGAAAGCTCTGGTGACGTCGCGTCCACGAATGGCCTTGTTCACTGCCGTAGTCTTGTCCTTGAGCTCGTTGAACCGAGCTGGTACCTTGACCTGGCTAGTATTAAACCAGTTGAGCAAGTCGAGATCGAGGACAGTGCCAGAGTACACAATCAAGTTTCGGGAGCTGTTCTTGATGTCGTTCCACGTGAAGTAGACATCGGCGGTACCGTCCAAGTCCAAGTAAAAGGTATCGCGACTCTTCTGCGTCGTATGGCAGGAGTAGCCAAGGTAGTAAGGAATTGTCAAGTTGGGCTTGGACGAGCCGTCCTGGTTGAAGACGGTGCAAGGGAAGTACCACGCCAGGTCACCGTTGCTGTTTGTCGGGACATCAGAGTTGTCGGCCAGGGTAATGAGGTTCTTGCATCTGCCGTTGACGTTTTGGAACAAGAAACTGCCGTCCTTTCCGCCGTTCTTCTCCGGCAGGTCGTACAAGACGTTGGCGCCGTGAGTCCTATTGATCATGGGCACGCCATCGGCGGGAGGGTGACGGGAGCGCGTCAAATCGTAGGCCGTTCCGTGGAAGATCATGTATCCACTGTCCACATCATTGACCTGGAGGCGCGGCGGCGGGGTTCCGCACACTACCTGAGTGAAACCGAAAGTCAAGAAACCGACAAATCCCATGATGAGCAAGATGATGCTGATCAGGCCAATCTTCTCTCTCCAAGCTCTCTGCTGCTCTTTTGAGGCCATACCACAGCATTTCAGCATAAAGTTTGGACACCAGAAGGTGATGATGGCGCAGTAGACGTTCCAGAAGCTCGGCGGGCGGATCTGCTCGACCTGCTTATTCTTGTGCCGCTTTCCCTTGCCATCCTTGGTGAGCTTGCCCGACTTGTGGCGACTCAAGCGCTTAGCCTTGGTTTTCGAGTGTCCTTTCTTTTCCTCGCCGCTGTTCTGCCTGCTGTTAACTCCTCGTGGTGGTGAAGCATCCGAGAAGTTATCGTTCGTTTGCGAACGCCCAGAAACATCGGTCGTCCCTTCCATGTCCTCGACTATCGGATCGTTTCCGGTCGCCGAGGGCAGAACGTTCATGTTGGCGGCATGTTTACGGTAGTAGTAATTGGGATGGTCCTTGTCTATTCTGTGTCGCTCGGGTCGAATCAGACTTCTCTTTCTCGTGAAAGCCTGGTCGCCGGTCGAGGGTCCTGGAGCCGGCGAGTCGTAGGTCGGGGATAGAGGCTGGTTCTCTGTATTGATATTAGGAGTTGAGATCGTCTCGGGGAAAGAGGTCGCTGATTGCCCACGTTGGTGCTGAGGTCGCCCTCCTACGGGATAGTAGCCGCCAGTCTCGACATCGTCCGGACGATTCCGTCGCGACGGCGAGTTTCTGTAGGCACTCCTATTCTCGAAGGGAGAGGTCGCTGCAGGCCTTTCGGGGAGAGACATGGTCCTGTGAGAAGATGCAGGTTAGTCTTTGATTCTGAAATGAAGATGGAGCCAGCTCCCAGCGGCAGCAAAGAAGTTGTTCGAGCAGGGAGACTTCACCCTTCCCAAAGAGGCGCCTGAGGTCTGTCGCGAGTTGAAAACGGGCGACAAAACGAGTCGAGCTCGGTTTCTTTTCGTAACAGGGAGGGAGGAGAGTGGTATAAACGCAAATACTGAGGAAATACAGATATGCGGTGTTGCGTGGGATGGGAAGCAAATGTGAAGGATCAAGAAACCACAACAGCAACAGCGAAAAGACAGCAGCCAGTTGCAGGTCGTTGGCGTTGGCGGGAGGTCATACTCACAGGAGTTGTTATTGGGAGGAAAGCACCTCCAGGCAAGAATTGTGGATGTCTGGGCCTGGGCACCCCTGCCAATAGCGGGGGGTTGTTCCTTGGGAGACGGCGAATCAATGGGGAAGCCGTCCCTATTTTCGACCCGGCTTTTCTCTGTTTCTGCGCCAGCAGGTCGGGGGTGACAGCTGGACAACGAGGCCAAGCAAGGAAGTTGCCAGCAAAAGAGTCTGAAGCGCTCCTTGTTCTGCAAAGCACGGAGTGACTGCGACTTGCTTGCTTCCCTGTTGCCTTGTGCAGTGCCGACGGGTAACTCAAAGCAAGAAAAGCTGAGATGGTTGGTGGTTGTGTGGGCAATCCCAGTTTTGCCTTTACAATGGTGGTCGAGACCTCAACAAGCGATGAACGGTCCAAAAGGTGGCGGTCGCTGCGTTCCTTTTGTCCTTCTTTTCTTGGACCTGATCCTACCTGGGGTTTTGTCCTTTCTTCTCGCGTCTATTCTCCTGTCTGGTTGATGCGTGCTTATCCGGTCTTTCTGTTGCTTTTGTGGTCCGAAGCAATCTGACGCACGGCTTATGTGCTCCAACTCAGTACCTTGCACAATTACTTGGGACCAGGGGTGGTTGGTAGTGAGTCGTGCGAAGCAATAGCGATGGAACAATTCAAGACGACTGTCCGCTATGCAGGTATCGAATTGGATGGATTGGAGGGACGAAAAGAGCGGATGGAAGTTTCGTCGCAAGTGCGGCGGGATAGAGAGATGGTTTCAGATGGCAACCGACACGACTACTGAGCAGCAGCAGCAATTGCAACAACGTCGATCTTGTTTCCTGTGGTCCAAGAGCTGACCGACTGGTTCGATGGTTGAAAAGCCCAAGACGATTGACCGACTGATTGCGCGATGGTACGGACAGGCGTATTTTGGGTTGCAGGCAAGTGCGCACCACCTGTTGAGAGAAAGAGAGCGATGGATGATGGGAGCGAGCGAGCGAGGAGGCCGGGGCAACAGATGCAATGTTGCGCACAGTCCGTCCTGAATTGCCTCCTTCGTCAGCCAAATCGGGGTGGCAACGATCGAAATGGACGGAGTTTGTCGTCAATATGGCAGTTGCAGCTATGTTGCAACTATCGTCAAAGTTGCGACTAAGAGTGCCCAGCGCAAGGTAGGATAGCCAAATTGAATCGCAGGGAAATGAGGCCTGAATCTCGGTTCTGCAGAAGCAAGACGAGCGGAAACGAAAGTAGGTAGTCAGTCGTGCTCCAAATGTCGACTGATTTCGAAAGCCAAGAACGACGGGGGGTTGGCGCGAAAGGTAAGGTCAGCGAAAGGTGGAAAAGGAACAAGACTGAGCGTCGAGCGAGGGACGAAATGTTCGGGAGGGACGACGGCCGACGACAAGTCACAACACAATTTGCTTCCCAAGGCTATGAGACTCGTTCCTGTTGGCACGAGGCGTCTTGAAGGAAGGGATGGGCAATGATGGGCGATCAGTGTGGACAGTGGGCACCAAAGAATTACTCTGGGACAGCCCAGACCAGTCCAGCAGGAAAGGGGAAATCAAAAGAGAGTCCGGTGAAGCAGGCCGTCTTAGTCCAAGGGCCATCGGTACTTTGCTCAGCCATAGAAATCACACTTGGGACGAGGTATCGTCCTTGATCGCGCCGGCTGTCCCATTGCGTTCCAAACCGCCACATGGCCCAGCACCCTCGCCTCACCCAAATCTCGTATTATTGATTTTTTTTCTTTCTGGACGGCTGGCTCGCGTTACTACGTTGCTGTCTGGCGTGGCTGGGTCTCGTTTGCCAATGCTACTGCTAAAGTACTCCCTACTTTAAATATATCGACGTGATCCCTCATCTGAGCTGCCCTGAATGAACCTGCCACCATTGGGCAGATTTATTGATCGCAGGAGACCTCTAGTATCCTTCTAGTTGCCATCACGAACCCCACGAGGTTGCGCACGGCTCGGCCACGGATTGTCATCCAGTCGACGGGGAAAGGGCAAAGATTGAGTTTGGCTCAAGTCGACATGGTCAATACCTCAGCCGAGGGACAGGGGGTTTGGGATGGTAGAACCGGAGCACCAATTTCTCGCCCACGGGGTACATCGGAAGTACCATCGAAGTACTCGGACCTCGGCCTCGCAAGTTGGCCCACGTACCTCAAGCATCCATAGTACGCTGGACTTGTATGTAGAGGACAAAACAAGCCAAACATTGACGACAGAGGCGCCAGTCAGCCATTCCTCTGGCACGCAAATGACTGATGCTCAAACATCATTTGGCAGCTCCGACTCAGTGTTCTCGTTCCATGCCCCTTCATGTTGTCGCAAAGGCCCAACGGCGCCGGCCTTTCCCACGACGAAAGAATCGTTGCGCTCTTGAACCCATAGCCCACTTACTTTGCAATTCGTCATAGAAGATTGCCCGGGGTGGCGGATGAAATGCGGACTCCATACGAACTGATGGGCACTCCCACCCACTCACAAACGATGTATTGCCTGGATACGCGCTTGAATCCGCACCTCTCTATCCACACCAGGTAGTCTAAAAACCAGATCAGCATGCAGGACCAGGGTTGCTATTTTCAAGCTCAAGCCCCTGTTGCCCAGTCGACCAGCCGGCCAGCCGCCCCCAAAGCAGCTCGGAAATGTTCACCAGACCCGAAAGAGAGTTTGTCTTTGCTTACCTGCATTTCAGAGCTTGGCTCAACTTTATGTGCCTGCGCCTGCGCCTCGCCCGAACTCCGCCCAAGCCGGTTCTGATGGTGGAGGGGAGCGACACCTACTCCGTAGACGGTGTATCCGGAAGAAGCTTTACCAACATAGAAAATCGGTTTGAATTTCCCTCAATCTTCTTAGTCAGCACATCAGGCAAGTTGATCACCTCGTGTTCTGAGGCTTCATTGCCGTTGGTCGCTCCTAGCGCCCGTGTTAGAGGCGTCGCTCTCCTCGGCCGGCACCGAGATTTGCGACAGCCAAAACAATTTATAGGGAATATCAAGGCTTCCGAACCGTATTGGTTTTGACATACCTCATTGCTGCTCTCGTGAGAAACGGAAAGATCACAATTCAACCCAATGCCGGACATTCAATCAAACCCGTCTCTCCAGTCGCAATTGCATGAGGAGATCCGTCTGTCATTGGCAGTCGAGCGTTGCCTGAACTGCCGTCCAAAGACCCAGAGTTTGCACTTGATATCTAAACCTAGCCGTGAGCCGATCGCATACGGATAACACGGCTAAGAATCGTTGTATTTTTTTCGTGTTTCAAAGTGGCTCTGATGCGATCCGAGGAATGCTTCCCTCCACTGAAGTATGGGAATTCCACCTTTGCATTTGCCGCTGTCCTGTCGGTCCGGTTGGTATTCGTCGTCGTAAGTTATTAGATAAGGATACGAGCGCGCCACGTCGAGGAACTCCATCGTCTGCATACCACACTCCTATCGGCTCGTTTCCAGCATCTGCTGCCCTTGCAGCTGCCACCGTGCTGTGTATCCGTAGTTATCAAGATAGATACCCTTGGCCAAGGACAGCGGCAATGCGATAATCAGGATCCTGATCCGCGGCCCCGGCGCTTTTTGGGTTTTCGCCTCCGTGCCGCCTCCACTGGGAACGAGAAACTTAGTTTTGAGCCTCCCTCGGAATGGAGCTCTGCATCGTTATCGTCAAATCCACACGTACTAAGTTAGCCCGCGCGCATCGCCGTTTCTGTGTCCCACTGTCTTCTACCTTACTTCTCCCGGAGTGGCGGCCAAATATCCCATGTTTGTATGGAGCTTTGGGTATCCGTATCCCGTAGTATATGCACGGGCTGGTGTCAGTGTGACAAATTTGCGAATCGTGGGGTTTGGTTTCGCTGTTGAATCCGTGCCTAGTCATCGCCCAGGATCTGTATAGATGTGCGTCTGTATCTAGGATTGATTGCTTGGCTTGGGAACTGACAGGTTGTAGATCGCTTCTGGGTTGGCGTCGTGGAGCTCCACCAGCTGAATAAGAAATCTCGGATACCTTGTGTGTGTCTGTTGACCCTATGGTGATAGAGACGTGCAGAATAAGCTGTGCGTCGCAAAATCAGATGAAAATATGTCTGGTGTTCATCCCGATATTGAACTTCTTGGAACCTCGTAAGGTTCTCCGACTTGTCTGTCTCATCTCCGAACATCAACCTCGGCATGCATTCCAGATATTGTTGATGTTGTGCAGTGCCTATCCGTTCCCTCGTTCGTTACACCGGCTCCTGGGGCGTCTCATTGCAATTGACTGCACCTTAAGACTGTGGTGGCCAGGGCTCTGGACAGGATGGATTGATTTGTTTCAATGTCGTTCCGCACAATTGCCAGCTTATCGTTGTGCTTCGTCTAAATTCCGTAAGGCTGCTGTCAGGCCAGTGTTATCCTTGACCAAAGATGTTCGGCACTGGTGAAGGCTGTTGATCTAGCGATCTCAACCTATCTGCACCAAGTAGTCAACAGTACGGACATGCAACTTGGGCCTTTTTGCCGGGCTTGGCAAGCAAGTGGCACCCGACAGACCAGACACCCGCAACTATAGATGCTTGGGCGTGAGAGAGAAAGGAAGAAATGCAAATGTTTCTGAGCCAAAATGCATCTCGGGTACTGAGGCGAGACCACACTTGTGGAAGGCCAACTGATTCAGCCTGGCTCCAGAATCACACAACCAAATTGGCATCGACGACGTTGATGAGATTCGCACCAGGCACCAAAGGCACTATTCAGAGCCGCCGTATTATCAGCCTGTTGATTGATCCCGATAAATTCAGCTGCGGTCTGACTAGCAATCAACTCAGAAAGCCACTGAGATCACGAGATTCTCATTCCTCTTGACGCTGTCATAACGGTAGTCAGGTCACTGACCTTCACGTCGTCATTTTGACCACGATGCACGAATGAAAACTTTCGGGCGCTTTCATTCGGCAAAGGAGGCTCGCCAATCGATGGACACTTCGCAGAACCAGCTCCAAGGTTCCGGGGTCCTTAATTTCCAAATCGAATCTGCCTACGGATACAGGCTACAGGCGCCATGCGGGGAATAAGGAAACCGACTGTGATTGGTGCTACAAGCTGCAGTGGCTGCGTCGCACGTCGTGGTTTTCAAATCCGCGATGTCCGCCGTGGTGGCCGTTGCCTTTTCATATTGGACCCACGGACAACGGGGCTCCATGGATCGACATGACCGACCCCGGACTGAAGCAAAAGTGTTCTCAAGTAGCAATGTTGTACACTAGCGAGAGCGTGCGACTCCGAATATGACAGCTTTCGAGGTTGCGAAACTATGCAATCAGCACTAGATGTTGAGAAAATTGTGTGTTGAACACTGCGTCTACGGGAGTAGTGGTGGAGCGCCTTTGGAAAGTCTCGTTGAAAAGTTGAAAAGGGGCTTTTCAGCTTCGGGGGAAGCACTGGGCTCGGTCGACTTGGCAATGCACAACAGTGGGTTTGCGGTGTTGATCGAAGGTAACCTATTTTGCCTGTACGAGGGGCGCGGTCAGCCGGCCATCCATGCCCTGCATGCGATTTCGCGATAGCGACAGCATCGTGCGGGATGATGCCTCACATGACGAGCAAAAACCGCACCACCCGCTTTTCCTGGCGGAATCCATCCCAGACCTTTTCCGAGTGGCTTTGGTCAATTCATTCTCGGTAAGGTGTAGCTGATGTTCAGAAGCGGCAAAGAACTGGGAAGAGGCGTGTCTGGCGGCGGATTCAACGGCGCTTCTGAGTTCATACTCGCAGCCATTCTGACCGTTACTTGCGTCAGCCTGGTTTGCGTGCTTGTTGGACTTCTTTTTGTTCCCTTCTCGTTGGACTGGCGGTTGTCCCTGGTCCGGGAGCTTCCCCTTTCCAGACCTATTCAATAGCAGCTGCAGGGTCGTCCTCTGGCGCGGCCTTTTCCCAAGACCCAGAACTCTCGCCGATTCGGCCGTCAGACCCATGCTAGGACGCTGAACCGCTGGGGCTGACCACTCTGTAGAACCCACATGAATATTCATGGAACAGCGGAGACTTGGAGACGCCCAAAATTGGACGACTATGCGCTGTGCACCATCTAATGCTGAACAGATACATCTACCGAGTATTTTCCACCTGAATGCAAAAGACAGTTGTTAATAATTACTAGGCTGCCTGCTCCTTGGGAACCGCGTGTGCACAGAAAGGTTTCGAAACGAACACGGGAAATGCGGGATGCGCAAAGAGTCCGTCGTATCGAGCCTTGTCGCGAGGCAGATCTCTGGCGTGAGTTGCTTGGTCACAAGAGCTAACCATTCTTAGTTGTACTCGGAGGTTGGCAGCGGGTTCTCGAACGAACTTCACTGCCTTTCTCTGGCGGGGATCACATTGGATCCGTTCTTCTGGCAGGCCTTTGGCTGGTGGAGGCTACCCTGAAGTCCCTTCTTTTGGTTCTTCCTTTTACACAGGGTCGTGCGGCGGGGAAGGTGACGGGATCCTGGTCCTCAATGCCCGTCACACGGCCACAGTAGGTGAGGACAGGGATCTCGGAGACAAGAATCTTTGCAAGCCTCAGGGTGGTGTTTGCGTGCCTCGCACGTTTGGATATCCCAGCGGATGCTTGGTCGAGGCAGATGTGCCGATGCGAATAGGGGGCTAGGCGAGGTCGTTAATGACAATGAGGCGAAGAGAAGGCCCAGGCTGGGCACCCCTCCGGATCAAGGTGAAACGAACGATTTCATTGCTTCATTAGCTACGCGCGTCGAGCCAACAGAGAAAAAAAGGGATGCGATGAGATGGAGCCCGGATTACGTGCTGTGAATTGGAGGAGCCGGCATCAGTTTTTGGGTGTTAGTTCGAGCAGAGGTTGCAGGAGGCTGGAGGCGAAAGGACGGGACTGCTCTGTTCCACGCTCTCAGCGAACAGAACCGGTCTGCATGTTCTGAATCCCCGTGTCTCCGAAGGCTTAGGGACAAGCGGTATGCTCACTGGGACATGAGCGACTTGCGTACCGGTTCTGTGGAGAGGCGGTGACCGGAGGTGACATGAAAGTGTAGCAGCGTTGCAAGACAGGTTTGACAGAGGCGAGATAGTGGCCAAGTTGGTCTGGGGTCGGGGGGAAACCCTTGGCATTGATGTCGATGGAGTTCCGGTCGGATCTACTGTCTGTGTGTGCCGAAACCTGAAAGATGAACGTGGATCCGAACTGGCGAGGTCTCTGAAGGAAGTTGACGATGCAAATGGGAGCCGCGGGGTTTCCAGGTGGTGACACCGTGCCCTAGGTACCTTCCGGTCGGTCCTTCCCAAGAGAAAAAGAGGAATACACAGGAAGGAAGCCAAAGCTTTGCAATTAGGTACTTGCATGGAGGGCGGGTGCCTTCTGCTTTCTTTTCCCAATGCACGGTACGTATCCGTACCTTCTACCTAGTTTGGTGAGGTACCTGACCGTTCTTTCCGTTTTCTTCGTGCTGCCGCTGCAGACCGTACTATGCATCTGCAGTAGCTGCACGTTGGACACGGGCACAAGCCGCACAACACGGGGCAGGTTGCATCGGTCCATCTGGTCGGTCGAGGAAGGTGCGACGAGACTTTGGTCCAGAGAAGATGACTGCCACTCCGTCTGCAACTGCTCTGAGGTTCAGACATCAGGAAGTACCTTGACGCCGACCTGTCCATACAATATGTACCTTGCCCTCGGGCTACCTTCCTTGAGCAATATGTTGTCACCTGACGTGACCACCATCATGAACCCAAGGTGGAAGTCACCAACCACCTTACTTCGTACCTTACCATCACATCGATTGCATCAGAGCCGCGTCTTTCTGGAGGCTGGGCAGTTGACCGCCCACGAGCCATTGAGCGGTGCCTACCGTAGGTAGGTATGTGAAGTTGGTGGGTCGAAATCCCGTGTATGGCGGGCAAATGTTTGTATTGGAATCTGAAGGTGAAATAAGGGCAATTGGATTTCCACATCAGGCTGGAGGCTCGTGTCCGCACCAGAAGCCGTCAATATTGCTCCCTCATAGCCACTAAACGCGATGCAAATCTTGTCTTCGGCAATGGAAGCACGAGGGATTCTCAAGCCTTGAGAATTCGACCGCCACTCCATTTACACCGTTCGTGTCATTGTACCTGACCGCGGGGCACATCACTTGACGTTCCCGCAAACTACGGGCATGAGTGTGGTCGTTGTAATTGCTCCCGAAGCCACAGGGTCGTCTTTTGTTTCTTTTCGCCTGCGCAATCAGAGGAAATGGAAGTATTCACTCTCGACAAGGCTACTAAGATTCATCTGGGCCGCCAACTCTAATTTGGTCCAGCTTCGACCCCAGTTCCAGCTCCAGCTCTAGCTCCAGCTGTGGCTTCTGAAGCTTGGCATTATCGTGGCTCGCTTTCATTGTCTGCCTAGCCCCTCGTCCTTTTCTTCTCCTCGCTTTGCCTTGCGTGACGTTGCTTTTCGCTTCTCTCTATTTACTCCGTACATAGTACATACGGATTGACATCTTTCCCTTCATCTTGGATGCCCATCTCAATTATCCTATCCTTTACACCCTAATACACCCCAGCACCCAGTCCTGCTGGGTTTCTAGTCTTCCATTACGGTTGCCCTTCCTCATTCCTCCGCAGCATCCCTTTGGCCGCCCTTTCCGACCGCCCTGGACCCTGCTCTGCTCCAACCTGTCCAGGTACTTCGTACATGAGGTATTAGCCCTGGGAGGCGATTCGGCGGCGAAGTAGAAGTGCGGCGTGCCCTGTGCTGACTCTCTCTCACATTGTGCCCGTCCGAGGTTACTGCACGAGTTGTTGGTCCCGGGCTAAGAAGACCCAAAGCTGAACTACATTATTCATGCCTCTGCGCCATCCCATTGTCCGTTCTATTGTCATTGTCTGAATTTCGGGCATCGTTCATCTGCTGCCATCTCTTTTTCTCCAAATCATCCGACTTTCCATCCGTGCTTGTTCAGACTCAAGATCATCAACAAACATCAACAAACATCAGCAAACAAACCGATACTTCTCCCAGAACTTCAAACGGCGTGACGTAGGCGACGTCAAGTTTCCGACCTAGAAGAGCTTTCAATACTAAAACTACCACTGCGTAGTTCTGGGACACATTGCCTCATTCTGTACGTATTCTTCATTTCTTTCTCTCGCCTCTTCCCTTCTCAGACCCAACCTTACCCTACCCTGGACCGTATCTATGAGGTGCTATTCCTGTCCTCCCCCCTTCGTGTTCCCGTACAATTCTGGGCTGGTTAGTACCTCGACGGCCTGGTTTGTCAGTCAGCCCTCCTCCCTCTTTCACAACCAGCCAAGGCTAGGCCTCCTTTGGCGCAAGTGTCCCTCTGGTTCTTGCTCGCTCCGAGGCGCTACAGAAGCAGGCGCACCCCCTAGCAAGGCACCATTCACCATTGCCCACACATCCCACGCCAGTCCAACCTGAGCAGGGCCCTGGTCTACTGCAGTACTGTACAAAACTACTAGATTGCCTTGTGTATATCCCTCCTTGGTGTGGGTGGGTGAGTGGGTTGAGTGGGTGAGAGAGAGCGGGTATGGTGGGCTGGTGCTTGTGGGATCCGCGCTGGGCTGTCTCTCGCAGTCTGAGGTGCCCTCTCTCTCTGTGCCCGGCGCTGGTGCGGCCATTGCATGCTGGTGCTTGGTGCTGCCCTTTTGGCCCCTCTGGGCGACTTCTTTCCGGGAACTCAGGTGGGAGGGATCCTCTGAGTCTGAGCTGCTCCTTTGCTTCGGCCTGCTGCCTCCTCCGCCTCTTCCTCTCGTCTTCCAGGTTCCCCCGTCTTTGACTTACATAACAAGTCAAGCATGCCACGCACCACGCATTGCGCTGCCAAGGGCCCATTTCCAAACCCTCAACTCCATGCCTACCAGTATTCAACTTGATCAATAACTCATACACGCCGGTGGTTTGGCATTTTTCTCCCCTGGAGCTGCTCCCACTAATCTGCTTTCTCTTCTCCTTGTCTTCAGTTTTCTAGTTTGTCCATCTACGCAACGTCTTATTCGGTTCCCCGCGCATCTTTGTCATTCGTTCCTATCCGGCACGCCGAGGAAGAAACACAACCAGCCCACATTCAACGACCGCTTCCTTTCCCCTTGCCTCCCTCACAACGAAGAAACACCTTGCACGACTACCAAGGCCAAAATCCTGTCTCCTTCCTTGTTCATGTCCTAGAACAAGCCTTTGGTGTCAACAGAAAAAGAAGGGCTTTGCAGGGCTTACACAACAACCATAATATAGCTGGACCAAATCTGCCTCGCATCGACATTCCTGCGACAAGAAAACATTCAGACACCCTGCTGTCCAGCTTTCGACGATTCAATGGCAGCCACGACGGCTCCGACACCGCCCGTCATGACTCCGACTGCAAGCCCGAACCATCTTCGAAAGCACATTTCCCCTGAGCGTCTTACTTTGGGCGACGACGCCGGCCGCAAATCGGTGTCGGCAAGAATTCGGGACGCTCCCGCTTCTCCTGTCAGGGTGAACTTTCAAGCCGAGAACTGGGCCCAGCCATCCAATGCCAACATCGAACTGGCACAACCCTACCAAGCAGAGTTTTCTACAGTTGATCGTTCCCGAGAATACAACGCCCCTACCCCTCCTTCGCATACCTCGGGCTACGACCAGGCTGGACGACAAATGCAAAGCCATGACAGAAATAAGCTGCCTCCCCTCAAAACGTCGAACTCCTACACTGCCGAACCCGATTACTTGAGTCCAGCGAGCTCTCTTACCCCCAATCAAAATGGCCATGATCAGGGCTACAGGTCGAAGCGGGGGACCCAGGAATCGGACAGCTTCAGCGCTCACAGCGCAAGAGCTCAAGATGCCAATCGCCACAGTCGGGAATCGAACACTACCACCTCAAGCAACGCCCAACAGCAGGCATCGGCGCAGTCCTCTGCGACGACAAGCGCGAGCTCCGTCTCTGGCATCAACGAGTCATCCGAATACAAAGATGAGTCCCCCGAGAGCTCGATAATGGAGGGCAACATGCCAGAGAACAACTCTGTCCCCATGTTTCAGTACTACCACCATCAGGAGTTTCCTCCTCAGCGTGTCTCGAGTGTTCCTCAGGGGCTTGACGCTCGTCGTTCCTCTTCGAACCCCAGCCTCAACGCTGATGGAACCCCCGTCAACCGTCATCTGACGCCTACCGGTTTCACCAGAAGGACCTCCATGCCCCGACCTTCGTCGGCTTACTCCGCTATCTCGGATTATGCTCCCAGAGGGCGATCCCCAAATCTGATGCCTGGAGGATCACATATGCGGACACCATCAGGCACTCGCAGGTCCCCGGAAACGAGACCAGCATCATACGCAGAGCTACTAAACGTGCCGTACCCTCAGCCAGCACCTGCCCCGATCAGCTTCGACAACAACCAGTTGCGTAATGCCGTTGGCAACAATGCATCTCTCCTCGGAGCCCAAAAGACACTGGAGATGTATCGCCAAAACGTCAAGAAGACCAACGACTTTTCTATCCAATACTCTTTTGCCGTTTTCCTCATCTCTACCGCTCAAGAGCAAGGCCTGGACCCTAGTGAGCCAGCACCTCGCAAGGCAAACTCTAGCCCAAAGAATTCCGCATCATCAACTCCCTACGACCTCCTGCGAGAGGCAAAGGGTATACTCCAGAAGCTGGCCAGCGGTGGATACCCCTTTGCTCAATACTACCTCGCAGATGGATACGCCTCTGGTCTGTTTAGCAAAGGAAAGGAGGATTATAACCAAGCATTTCCCCTCTTCGTTCTCGCCGCAAAGCATGGTCATGCCGAGTCCGCTTACCGCACGGCGCTATGCTACGAGTTTGGTTGGGGTTGCCGCAAAGATCCTGCGAAGGCTGTCCAGTTCCTTCGCATGTCTGCGTCGAAGCGTCACCCAGGCGCAATGTCCCGACTTGGCAAGGCATGTCTCTCGGGTGACTTGGGAGAGAAGCGGTACCGCGAGGGTATCAAATGGATGAAGCTCGCAGCAGAGGCTGCCGATGCTGTCTACAGCGCAGCTCCGTATCAGCTAGCTTGCTTGTACGAGACGGGCTACGGCGACGACATCTTCAAGGACGAGGTCTACGCAGCAGAACTTTTCACCGCCGCCGCAGAACTCGGCCACCCAGAGGCCAACTTCCGCATGGGTGAGGCATATGAACATGGGAAGCTCAGCTGCCCCCGCGATCCAGCACTCAGCGTGCATTTCTACACTGGTGCTGCTGAGCGAGGACATGCTGGTGCTATGATGGGCCTTTGTGCATGGTACATGGTCGGTGCAGAACCGATCTTGGAAAAGGACGAAGAAGAAGCTTACGAGTGGGCTCGCCGATCAGCCGAGATGGGTAAGTTGAGAGACTTCTGGAAAATATCGACTGAGCGAGGCAATAAGGCTAATCACAAATATGCAGGTTTCGTCAAGGCCCAGTACGCTGTGGGCTACTTCACAGAGATGGGCATCGGCTGCCGGCGTGACATCTTGGAGGCCAATGTGTGGTATGTCAAGGCTGCAGACGCAGGCGATGAGCGCGCAAAACAGCGGTTGGCAATTATCCAGGCAGCTGTCAGCGGCGGCACCCCGATGGAAGTCGCCCCTCCCCGTAGTGGAAAGATCAAGAAGGGCGGCGAAGAGAAGGATAAGGACAAGGATTGCATTGTGATGTGAGGAGTCACACCCAAGGAGACGGGCCGCATCGACGGGATCACACCAAAACACACCGGCGTTGGACAGGAGGTCAAGAAAATTCAACTTCACTAATAATGACGAGGAGGGGCGCCTCTATTTCCGGGAAATGTTCAAGGGCCGACTTTTGCCGACGTTACTCGACGGTTGGATAACGGACAAGAGCCGTGTCAATTGGCATATCACCGGTTTTCTTCGTTTTCTCACACCCATGGGCATCTACAAAAGGGGATTGGAACTATGGGCGGGTGTTGACGGGATGCAGTGAGAAGAGTCGCTACGCGTTGAAGAAAGGGGCAAAGCATGCCTGTCTCGACGATCCAAAGACTCTTCATTTTCCCCTCTCCCACCAATTTTCGGTCTTTTCGTTTTGTTTCTGGTCTTTTTTCTTCATCCAAGGCGGGGGCTTTCATGAAACTGCATTTGCATCGCATGAGAATCCGGGCACAAACGGGTGCTTCATGATCTAACCATGGTCGAAATTTCTAGCCTGGGAACTCCATTGAACAAGGCGTTTGGAGAGGGGGGAAATACATTGCGATTCAAGACAGACAAGAGTTGCGCGGGTGTGTACACGCCTGGCTGAGCCATCAGAGGAGCCTGTACATACGAGATACCATAATCCCCTGTCTCGGACAGGCGTTTTTGAGCTTTGTAATCCTGTGTTTGATGAGTGACTTGCGAGAATAAGACGATGGCGTTCATGGCGGTGGTGGCTGTCTGATTTCTGATTGATCCCGGCTCTTTGGGTTGTTTAGGCCACTGAGTGCCTCGTTCACCAATTTTCGAGACAGGTTTCCCTCGAGAGGTCCCTCTCAGCTTGCGTTACGTGTTCGTCTGTACTCGGCCGAACCTCTCTAAAATTTTCCCTCGCGGTGACTCAGAATCTGGTCCAGCGTCAGAGGCTCCTCCATTGTGGATCATCGCCGTTGCGTATACACACGAAAGACGTATGCGTCTTCCAATGCTTCAAGTTTTGACGTGTGACGTGCCAAGACTAAGCTTGATTCAAAGTAGGCCCGATGAGGCGTTGATGGAAAACTTCTTACCCTCCTCCAGCCTTGGGTTTTGGTTTCCCCTTCCAAAGCTTGACATCCCATATATGTGAAATGGATGGGGATGAGGCGCCCGAGTTTGGGTTTGAGAGACGTTGAACTTGTGGTCTTTGCTTTTCGCCTTGCGGTGATACCGCCGCCGCGCCGCGTGTCATTGAGGTTGCACGCGACAGGTGTGTAAGAGATTTCGAGAAAGCTCGGGGCGCACACTTCTCTTTGTTTGACTCGTCAGACTCGTCAGACTCGTCAGACTCGTCAGCGTTTTCCCCCCTCTTGACATGGCGTTTCTTTCTTCGGATTGTGGGAGGGAACGGATAAATTGAGGGCGCGCGGCTTTTGCGACTTGTTCGGGGAGAGGGTAGATTTGTTCTGCGACGTTGTTTAGGGCTGAGATCTTTGTTCTTTCAAACAAGGTGGCTTTCTGCGGTGTGTCGTTTGTTTCTGAGATGTTTTGGTCTGCTTTGCCTTGTATGGTGGTCTGTGTAGCGAGTCTCTTACGAACTTGGTGTTCGGGAGCTGGCCGGGTGGTGTGTAAGTGTTACAAGTTGTCGATTGTTGTTCTTCTACATCTGCAGCTGTTGCAAAGCTCATGGATATTGCCCTTCCCTCATTCATCGCCAGGAAGTCCTGCATCAGGCGGAAGTACATTGCTTAGAATACTGCGTCTGAGTCTGAAAGAAGTGATAGACACTGATGATGTCCGCAGAAGCATCATCATGTGGACAGTGGGGGCTAGCGCTGTGCCTTTCCGAGGAGCAGACGATCTGCTCTTGATCAGAATCAATCTTTTTCTATGTGACATACATCTCAATAGTAGTTGTTGTCTTGTTGATGTAAAAGCTATTCAAGCCGCAACGACTGCCTCTCTCCTGACCACGACGAGGATTTAGGTCACGGTATGTCTACTTCTGAGAAGTCATGGATACAAGTGCTATCGTCCACTAAGACGATATGATTCAAGCGTGAAGGCCACGTTCGCGTGTCTCTTACTCTTGTATGCTTGGTGCCACATGCCTACAGCCTGTCCTCTCTGGTAGTCTGGGAGCATGGGTGTCATCAACGCCGCAAGGACAACCTCTAGATGTCACATCAGAAGAGAACCTCTCGAAGCCTTCTCAAATGCTTGATATCAAACACGCAGTTGGAGAAATCGCAGTGGTGTCCACTGGAAACTGCAGGCAATTCAACCTTTTCCTACTTATCTTAAGAGGTAGATCATAGAGGAAGCACTTGTTCCTGATCGGTAGGTACGGTATGAGCACCTCAGTTTGAGAGAATGACGCATACACTGCGTAGGAGGGCTTTATGGATATTCTGCCTTAGTGCTTGACGTAAAACGATCTTAGATACTCTTCCGCCGCTGCCTCTCCTAAGGCGAGCCCCTGTTCTTTCGCCCACTTCTGATACTCTGGCGTTTTGAAAAACTCCTTGTAGTCAACACCTCCCTCTTGATCTACCCAGCCGAACTTCCCGTGCTCATCTAAGAAGTTGCCTATCGAGAACAATCAGTTATGGTCAATTGAGTGTTGGAAATACTTGTAGAGTGGTGGACAGAGGAGGACCGTAGGATTTTGAATGCCGAGACCACTGCGAACTCACCGTAAATTGGATGTTTCGTGTCTATACGGATCTTCATTAGCCATCCTCCATCCTCCATCTACTACTTTTAGTTTGCTCACCTGTGAATTGAGATATGGAAGAAGACTTCCTCACGGAATGCTCTGAACCCCAGTCCATCAACTGGGACCAGTCGGCACAGGTACGTTCGACACCGTCCCAGTTAATGACCGAGTGGAAATCGTGGAGAGTCCAATGAAGTAGAACGGGTGTCAAATCTGCCTGGCATTTCACGGACTCCATGATATGATGAAGACAGTGTCCTGAGGCAAAGCCGGAATCAGCCACCAGTTCTCTCACATATTTGTCCAGCAATGCCGCCGGGATCCAGTCCGGATTCAGGCACGCATTCTCCTGGGGACTTCAACTAACCAATATGACTCTTCTGAGTTGCATCCTCCTTCTCCGTGGTATTGGGAGTGTAATAATACTCTCTATGCGCAACCTGGTACAAATAGTTCTACAACGGGTGTAAGACTCTAGCATTCGAAATGTCGCCGGAAAGCGTAAATGACGAGAATGGATATCGAGACTTACGATGCAGTGTAAGTTATGCACCATAGCAAGGCCCCCAAGACTTCAATACAGTCAGCCAGATCGTAATGCCAACAAAATGGTTATCCTTGTATGTACTACTTACTAGCCGCCTTCTCCATCGTTGAAAGGTATCGCATCTGTCTCCATGCCAAGTCGGTGTACCTCGGATTTCGGGATTCGGTTGGCAAACGCTGCGATTGATTAGTGAACCGGTGTCTAGATTCCACATCAACCGACACAAAGGGCTTGCCTGAAAGTAATGAAGACCAGTTTGCATCTACTTCTGGGCTCGGGTTGCCCAACAGTGGGTGGTCATGACCTGGCGTCACTGGATTTACGGGTTGTGGGTTGAACTCAACCTTGTCCTGAAAAGAGAGACGGTCTAGTCAGTGAGAGAAACATCAATCAACCAAGAAGTGCTTCAGAGTTATTCAACATACCCAAACATGTACCGTGTCTGGTGTCGTAAGTCGAGGGCAGAATGGCTTGTAGATGACTTCACGGGCATAGTAAAGTACTGCCCACGTATAAATTGCTAGGATGAGGAGTGAAACAAGTATTTGGATTGCTCTCCTTGACTTCGATGTGCCTCTGCTCGAGTTCCAATTCTCCTGATGCAAGGGGTATTCTTCGTGGTCGTCGTCGGTCTTCACGTCCTCGAAACCATCGTCAGAGACCGGCTTGTACTTGACTGCAGGTGTTGCAGACATGTCTTGTGCGGTCGTTGTTTCCCAAGCGCGCTGCAGGCAGCAGAAACTATAGTCGGTACGGAATAGGTGAGTTCGTCAAAAGAAAGTACGATTGACCGCGCTGCTACGGAAGGGAAGACATTGTCAATCTGGAGGAGGCCAGCCGGCCATATCTGATGGTTTGTACAGACTGCTCACGAATCTCTGCGTGGGCAGTAATACTTGGTGAATCTTTCGCTTCTCGAAAATACTCTAAGAGAGCCCCTTGGTGTAGAATTAGCAGTAGGCGAAAAAGACTCCCACCGGATGCGAGAGCCTATGCCACAAAAGGTGAGAGGCCCGGAAGATAGAGTTCATCAGATATCAGGTGGCTAGGAAGACCGTCACATCATGATCTTGGGGCGGGAAGTATCCTCACGCCCAGGCTTGTTGACAGCAGATGGAACGTTAATCGTGAACCCTGGTAACATGAACACACCCCAAGAATTGATTCTGCTTCCTCCGTGCCGTTACTCCGATCTCCAAGCCTGGGTGTGGGTTTGGTGGATGCTGGTATTATCAGAAGGTAACGGCGAACCCTCCTTCGATAACCGGTCTAGGCCGACTGCCTGGGCAGTCTTCGTCCTGCCAACTTTGCCTGACTTGACTGAAGCCGGTCTCTTCATCCTTGAGGCACCCTTCAGAGTCCCCTATCTCAGTCACCCCCAGACTCGAGAGTCTCTAGACGTGCTATTTGCTGCCACACCTAGACTTGCACACTTTCGGAATCTTCACACCATGTCGTCTCTTTCTGAAGATGCGAAGCCCTTCCTACCGAGCGAAAGTGGCGATTCCAGTTTCGACTTAGCCCCGGCTGAGAGACCGAGACTGCGGCAAGACCGATCGACCGAGCCCCGCTGGCGAAGGAGACTCTGGATCAGCCATGTTATCCTCTTGGGATTCAATGTTGCGTTCCTCATCTACAACATCAGTGATGTTGGGAAACACGTCGGGCCAGAGGCGGCAGTGCTCGAAAGAGCCTACTGTGAGAACTTTTTCCTTCGCCTGGTACCATGGTCATGCAATTATACTAATATCGAATGTCGTAGCACCGGCACAGATGGCTATTAGTTATACAGTCAAGGAGGAAGCCCCTATGTTGCCCGACAACGTTCTCACCGGTCCACCCGGCCCCGAGGCTGACAAGGCGTGGGAAGAACTTGAGAAACGTGAGTTCAACGCCATAACTCAGCATTTGCTACATCAGATCCTAAAACTTCCATGAAGCATTCATGCTCAGGTTCTCCGAAGACGAGATGAACAGAATGCAAAAGACCTCGCTCGCTCTCAAAGACGGAAGCGGGTACATCGGTTATTTGGAGTCTTTCCACATGTTGCATTGTGTTGTAAGTGACTTCTTCCTTGTTCCTATTTCTGAGAATAGCCTCATCTTCTTCACTGTCGCGTTACTGACAGGTCAACAGAAGAGTGCTTGGAAGTCCCAATACATGGATCACTATGGCAGTGGACATTCGACCAAGCCCGGTCATCTAGCTCATTGTCTAAACGTACTCATCCAAGGTATCATGTGCAACGCAGACACATCGATCGGAACATATCATTGGAAAGAAGGGGGGACTATCAAGGGCAAGGAGATGATGGACATTGAGGCTAACAGGACCGGACATCGCCAGTGCACCGACTTTAGCAAGCTCCAAGCTTGGGCTACTAAGCGAACTCTTGACTTTGATGTCCACGATACTGACAAGTTTCTGCGTACCTTGAAGCCGGAACACTAGGGTCTGGTAAATAGCATCGTTGTTGATACTTGGAGGCACGAGCGGAAAGACGTTGAAAGATCTTCGTTCATGGCCACATCTCCATTGACCCTCAGAAATAAATGTAGCTAGCTTCTAGATACATGTCTGAACAGTTGTTAGCTCTGGATAATCAGATCATAGCGACGCTAGGGTCTTTCATGAGCCGCAGTCAATGTGACTTATGAATTAGATACGCTGACCAAAACACAGCTATGCTGGCTAGCCGAAAGATCCAGGCAACACTGTCCTCGACGCCGAGAATCTTCAGAACTGCCAAGAGGACTGCGCAAACTAGGGTTGAGCCAATTTGAGGGAGAGATATCGCCATGTTGTGCAGTCCCAGGATCCATGCAACCTCGCTGTCTTGCTTTCCAACGGATATCTCAGAGATCTCTGCGCTGATCAAGGCAAATGGAGCCCACATGGTTACGGCAGCCGTGGATCCCATCATGGCGACAACGATGACGGCCGTGGCTCCGCTACGTGCGACAAAGGTGAGATGCATGCAGTATCCCAAGAAGCACTGCGATGCAAACCAGACTCTGGGGAGGTTGCGAGAGAAGCCCGGCAGGTAGCGGTCAAGTATCTGGAGCAAAATACTTGCAGCGAATGCTCCTAATGCGAAAGCAAAAGAGGCAAAGAAGCCAAAGTCCTTTGCACTTTCGATGAGTTCTAGATCTGGTTCCCCAAACTGCCTTTGCCTTTGCTCGAGTTTGTCAGAAAGGGCTGAGAAATGTTAGTATTGGAAGTACTTCAACAGTTCTGGACTTCTACCTGTCTCATAAGCGAACCTGAAACAAGTCCACGAGTTAGTCACTAGGCGCAAAAGATGTTATAGGAGTCGGACGCTTACGTTGACATGTAGTATAAAACAGGAAACCATCCTGCCTACGCCCAGAATTGAATCTCGCAAACCCGGCGACTGCGTGGAGGGATTTGTGTCCACCGTTTGGCTAGCCCTGTCGGCGAGATGATGGACCATGACCGTTGCGCAAAAGAGGGCTGGCAGTCACGCAAAGGTGCGACGTTCTGGTCAGTAATGAAATAGCATGCGAGACCGACTGTCGTCAAGGTACAAGCTGCAACTACAACGGCGAGTAACTTGAAACGGTCATCGCTGTTTACACCAGTCGAGGACCACTGAGCATCCACAAACCCAACAGAAGAGAGCACCACATTTCCCAGCACATTCCATCGCATGGCCCAGGAGGCTGCGACGGACTGTTGACTGGGAGGGGAGTTATCTACTATCAGAGCCCTGACGCCGACTGCGTATGCCTGCAGTGCAAAAGTAGTGACAACCACTGAGAAGACTGCAAGAATCTGCGTCGGTAAGTGCGCCGAGCTGGCGGAGCGATCAACACTGGAACTCCATGTCCAAGCTGTGAGTTCCTCAGAGTACGCCAATGCCAGCAGGAAGATAGTTGCGCATAGCGAACCTCCTACGATGAATGGCTTTCTTCTACCCCAGGCATGCTGTGACTCGTCGCTGAACACACCGAGAATAGGCTGCGCAAAGGCGCCAGATAAAGGACCGGTGACCCATACCAAGGATATAATGGATTTGGGAATGCCTAGCGAGATCAAGTAGGGCTTTGGGCTATTCGTCAGTCACTCAGCTGGGGTTGGGTCGGAGGGGAAAAGACTCACAGTGCCGCTCGATGTCAAAAGAAACCAACACACTTGAAGGCCCAGACTAGGAGACGTAAGTAGGAGCAAGCCTGGAAGCTTGAGCAAGGTGCGCTTCTGGGGAATTTCTTCCCCAAGCTCTGCCAGTTCTAGGTCCTCTGTGCTAGACGCAGATCCGGGGGAGTAGAGAGCCCCTGAGGTCGGCTCGCCCACTATGACACGAGGCATTTCCTGTATGAACAGGATGAGATGAGTGACGCTGCCTCCTGTTCCATATTGATCGGAGATACTTGCAAGAGCTCAGCGTTGATTTGTTATAGTCGAAGATGTAAGCATGACCTGGTGTCGCCGAGTCCTCGCCGGAGACCGCTGCCTTTCCGCGACCTGGAAGGGCCATGCGCTTCCTAGCCCTGGTCAATTACGGATAGATACTTTGCTGCGGAACCGGGAACGCTCCAGCGGCAACGGCGTCATGAGTCGGACGCACATGCTGGTTGTCTTTGCAGTGTGTAGCGTGTAACTTTTCACTTTCCTCAGTCCTTCTTTCATGTCCACGTATTACGCATATTACCCATGCGGGCGGGTACCTTGTAAACTCTGTTTTTCAACCGAGTTCCTTGGCCCGTTCTCGCCGACGAGCTACCCTTGTCAGGATCAGCACAGTGCCTGGTGAATGGGGCTGGACATAAGATTGGAATTCTATGATGAATGATATTGCCGACGTGGCTGGATTGGTAAGAGAAGCGAGCACTTGTGTATCGAATAAACGCTGGTCAGTGGTGCCAACGGTCTTCTCGAGTTCCAAGGCATGTATCCGCCAACTTTGCCCTCCATCAAGAATCACGCTTACATGACACATTACTCCGAACCAACACACGACTGCTACCACTGATAGTATCACCAAAATTAGACTCTGACATCTCAGTATGTCAGATGGTCACGCACCGGTAAGCTGGTCTTCTCTACCACGAAAAGACCAGCTATTCCTACTTTTCATGATACGATTCAGTGAACCTGTCGTCAGGGTTTCTATCGGAGCGTACATCTACTACCAACTTAAATCACTTGATCCATCATTATCCAGTGCTGAAGTGATTACACAATCCGCGTATCTTCAGACGGCTTATACCATCGCGCAGGCTATCTCATCTTTGCTATGGGGCGTGGTATCGGATTCTCCTAGAGGGGGAAGGAAACTAGTTGTGCTAACAAGTTTGTCCGGATCATGTAAGTCAGCACTGTAGTGATATCCCACGGGGGATGCGAAAGATTCATCTAATTTCCGATGACAATTGACTTTCTAAACGCTTTTCACAGTCATAAGTTGTGCGCTGTTCGGTTTCATTACTAGCTTCAAGCAGGCCGTCTTCCTTCGAGTTTTTGAGGGGATAACCAATGGGAACGTCGCTATGGTGAGAACAATGGTCTCCGAAGTTGTTCAGGAGAAGCGGTAAGTTGTTTTCTATTAAGGAGGATAAGAAATATAGGATTTAAACAACCAAGACTGACCGACGTACTCAAAATAGTTTCCAAGCGAGGGCTTTTGCATTATTACCAATTGCTACTCGAATGGCTATAATCATCAGCCCACTAGTGGCAGGTTGGACTGTTCAGCTTGAGACAACGGGCCAAGACGACAGTTTTGTGAGGAAACACCCATATGCACTGCCTGCCTTATTGAACGCCGGCTTCTTGCTTCTTCTCCTACTTGCTACATTCCTGTTTCTTGAAGAGGTATGTCGTCATTAATACATGCTCACTTTTGACTTATTGCTTCACTTCAGACTGACGAAATGCAGACATCAAAATCTGTAAGAGGTCGATTTGACCCTGGAATCGCCTTCTCCAAGAAGTTGCTGTCTTTATTCCGCTTGGTTCCATTCAGAAAAGCAGATGACGCTCAGTACTCACGCATCAACTCAGAAGAAGAGGATGGAGAAGAGATGGGTTTCTTGAAGGAGACCGATGGGAATGATCACTCTGGCGCTTCCACACCTCCTGCGGTGACCGTTACACCAAGTGAAAAGAACTTGAAGCTCCCTACACGCCGCATTTTCACCACTAACATGCTCCTGGTTCTATTGGCAACTCTTCTCTATGAACTCCATCTTAACAGCGTCAGCATTGCCATGGCCAATATGTTAGTCGATCCAGTTTCCACCAAAGAAGCCGAATTATCAAGGGTTCTGCCATTCCGCTTCGGGGGCGGCGCCGGATTCAGGCCGAAGTCTCTTGCCTGGTACTCAACTGTGTTCGGTAAGATCTTAAATACCTCACTTTGTTCATCAATAATGTGAAAATTCCGCCACATGAAGAGCTATTGGCTAACATGATGCAATATAGGGATTGTCGGTATTCCCATGCAGATTTTTGTTTACCCTTGGCTTAATCAGCGCCTAGGCTGTTTGAGACTCTGGCAACTATTCTACCTCGGATTCCCCTTGCTTTATTTTGCATACCCATATGTTGCTATCATTCCATCTTCTACACCGCCTCCATCCGAAAAGACTGGTGTGGCTGTATGGGCGTTTTTGGTGGTGATTCAAACTTCAACATCTCTCATAACGAGTGTTGTGACGCCCTCACAGCTGCTACTGGCGAATTTCTCCTCGCCTCATCCATCGGCACTGGGAAGAACTCATAGTATCACGTTCTTCACGTCGATGGCGGTTCGAGCTGCCAGTTCAGCCATGGCTGGAAATATGTACGCTTTTGGGTCGACACACAACTTGACTGGGGTCATATTTTGGTTTAGTAGCGCTGTGTCGCTTATAGCTATCATTGTCACCCGGTTTGTGAGAGAAGGAAATGGCCATGAAATCAAGCTCCCGGGAGAGAACTAAGGCGAACTAAGACTAGTAGTGGACTCGAAAGACTCAATTACACTACAGAAGTTATCTTCTCTTTGCGTATGCTTGTACTCGACCATTGATAAGGATCTTGGATATTCTGTTCCTTGATTCCCAGAAAAGAATAAGCAGATTGACGAAGAAGACAAAGCTGTTGTGCTAGGCCGATCGAATAGTTGGGTCAGCATGTTCTAGACACGGAAGCTTAGAAACTTTTTTAAACTACGCATCTGTAACTAAGAACAATTTGTCTTACACTGCGTAACTAATAAGGTCCTACTTAATTCATGTTTTGCACGAACTTCTCCCCTGCCGTCTGATTGCTTGCAGCCTCAAGCTTCTTGTATACGTCCTCAATCTCTTCCTTGTAATCCTTCTCGACCTCCCTCCGAAGCACCAATTGCTTGATAGTCAGCTTGATAGGTTTTTCCTTGCTGGCCAAGAACACAGTCTGTCTCGGAATGGCCACTGCTTTCGCAGAAATCTCATTGTGTCCCACAATAGTCTTCTCATAAATATCATCAACAAGCTCTTCGTGGTTCCTTCCAAGCAGATCCTCCTTCACTTCTATCAGGACGTATGGTGCAATGCGCCCTGCACCGCCGACCATGACGTGCTTGACTCCAGGGTACCTGGCGACTTTGGTCTCGATGTCCTGAGCGTGGAATTTGGCCATCCAAATCAGCTTCGTCCAATCATCAGTTCTGGCCACCGATTCCCATCGGGTACTGCCGTCGCTATCTTTGACCGGACGCCACAACTCCTTCGTATCGATAGTCTCAACGTCCTTGAACATCTTGTAGTTCCAGAAGGCACACTGATAGATGGATGGACCACCGTCAGGTGGCCTGTCAATGAACATCTGGTACACATCAGAGTCATCTCCGTCACCCAGAGCTTCACCAGAGCCCTCTAGCTTGACCAAACGAACATGGTGCTCAGGAATGAATTGGAAGCTATACCATAGCTTCCTGTCGATGGGATGCAGGGAAAAGCGACCACCAGACTCTGTGGCTCCCATGACAGAATTGAGCCTGGTGTGTTCGCACAGTGCGTCTCCGACAACGCGATCGAGAGCAGATCCCAGATAAGTGATGAACTCTAGCGACTTCAGTGATTCCCGGGTCTCTTCGTTATTGTATAGGTCAACGATGGTGAAAGGAAATCCCATCAGGCCATCAACCTTGTTGAGACGCAGAAGCTTCTGGAAAATAGCTGGCGGAAGCCCGACCACATCCGGAGGGGGTTGGATAACACAGGTGCCAGAGAAAACGGCAAACATGTTGATTAGGACAAGGCCAGGCTGTAGTCTCATTGGGATTGCCAAAATCAGAGAACGGCCATAGAAAGAATCCGTAGATATCCCCCTAGGCCAGTGACGGCGAGCCAAGCCGGCAGATGAACATCCAGCTGCCCAGAAACCATTGTTCATGAAGATTGGCTTAGGTAAACCTGTTGTGTTGACTGGTCAGTGTCCGGTGATACCAGAAGTGTGAACTCCTTGCGTTTCCATACCTGTGGTGCCTCCAGTATGGATGATGAGAATCTCATCGTCCTTCGCCTGCTCGTAAGTCTTCTCATAGGCGTAGGGCTCGGTTCCTTGAGCAGAGAGACACCATTCGAGGCTTTGGAACTGCTTAACATGGATACCAGATGCTGCAAGCTCAGGCTCGGGGCTGAATGCACCTCCCTCGGAATACAGCCAAATCTTGCAGTTTGATGACTCTAGCAGTGCATCAAGTCCATCCTTCATGAAACGACCATCTGGGACAAGAAACTAATCAATGTTAGCATGAATATGATTTGACTTAGAATAATCATTGTATACCTTGCGACCTGTCTTGACTGATGCCGCGAATAGGAACGCATATCGGACGTCGCTGGGACCAGAATACGCAACAGTATCGTTGTCCACAGATTTTCCAAACGTCTTGTCAAGCCAGTGTGCAGTCTTGTTGATGCCATCGGCGTATTGTTGCCAAGTCAACGAACGGTAACCCTCTGTCTCCCAGTCAGGCCCGCCAGCGAATCGCACAAGTGCATGATGAGGTTGCCATTTGGCATTCTCGTCAATCCTGCGGACGAATAGCTCCATTCCTGGAGTACTGGTATCGAAACTCATCTTGGTCAATGTGGCAATTGGCAGGTGTTTCGACTGTGTCTGACAAACTGAAAGCGTCAAGGCGAACTGGATCGAGATGAGAACAGACTAATACCTTTCAAACAAGGTGCTCTTTCAATTCAAACCTACTGTGCATTTGAAATACACTCACAGGTACGAGCCTCTAAGGTCTGGTCCCGGCCATTCCGAGACACATATCATGTAGCAGGGGCGTTCGTCTAATTCTCACTGCTCAGGCAGTGGAACTTTGTGAATTTCGGCACCAAAGATGTCAGATGATGAGAACTGATTCAAAGACCAGAACACAACGGAAGCGTTCATCCGAAGCTTCTAGCTAGGCGGTATCGACCCCATAGAATTGGGTTTGTTCCGTTCGATTCACCGCACTTTTCGTGGGATCCTCTCCGAAGCTCCGAGTACGCACGCTACGGGGATATTATCTCTCAGCTCTGGAGCTCGGATATGTCTCCCGACTTCATTTGAGAAGGTGAGTTATGATAGTGGGGCCAGAGGTAGTGGACCAGCTGTTGTAAAAGGGCCGGTCACTTACAGACACGTAGGACTCGGCCAAACACGCTGTGGCCGCATACCTGGCAGTCGCCCTTCGGAAAGCATAGCAAGGGAATACTTTCGCATATTCAGGCCGGGTTGTGCCTAGGGTGAATGTCACCTTTAGGGGACCGCTTGTTGCAAAGAAAGAGGGCCCATGCGTGCTCTCAATGACGTAGTGGAGCCTCTCAGTTCAATTTGTGACATATTTGAGTTTATGTAGGTCAAGGGCAGGAGCCCAAGATATTCGGGATGTGACTAGAGACTTCCAACGAGCGTTGCCGATGCTAGTGTTCGTATTGGCACCCCAGTCCTCCGTACTAGATGATGCGAACTGTCAGGGACAGAAAAACTGGACCTTGGTGAGTGGATCAACCCCAGGTCGATCCTGCGGCCAAATTGTCGGTGGTTCTACTAATCTATTTACTTTCACATTGACATAAGTTTACGGGTACAGGGCACACCTACATGTAAAGCCAAGACGCTGCTGACAAGTAGGCATATTTGTCTCCAAGGGAATCAACAAACTTTACGATTTGTTACAGATTTCAAACTTAAGCAGGCCTATTTCAACTCCTCAGATCGAATCCTACCATGAGCGGAGGCTGATGTCTAACTTGGGGATAGTGTCACCTCATGGGAGAAACTGAAATGTGCTGAACTCTAAACCCCAGTCACAAGAATTCAGGGAAGGCAACTTTACACACTGTGCTCCTCGGGAAAAAGAGTAGACAAAGGTGTACTAGGTATCGATCACGGGAAACAACACTCATTCCAAGTTTGTGTCGAGTCTATCGACGACACACCAATCCTAACGACGCTTCCATAATGTCTTCCACGCCGCAAGCACCCCCTCATCCCCGCGACTGGGAGGTTGGAGTGGACGAATATCTTACACAAAACGGAATCTCCTATGAAACAGCAATACCTCTCAACACTGGCACATCATGCTACATCTGGCGACTCGAAGGACTGGTCGACGCGGAGGCTTCGGCCAATGGTCACCAGACAGGCCAGCCAGTCATAATGAAGTGCGCCGACAGCACCCCCAAATACCGGAACTTCCCAGTCTCACCGGAACGACTTCAGTTTGAAGTCAAAGCTCTGAGATCCAAAGCAGTGGAAGAAGCTTGCCACCAGGAACCATCAGTCCAAGTCCCGCGCGTGCTTCGAGAAACAAAGAATGGTTTCATCATGAGCAATGTCGGTGAGACTGATCTGAGGACGGCTTACAAGACGTACGAGTTTCTGGATGCGGCGGGAATTGGTGCGCGACTGGGTCGATGGCTGGGTAGCCTGCATGTTGCCGGTAAGTCAAACCCCCCACTTCCCGGCACCCCCCTGTTTCTGGCACCCACAAAAACGCGAAAATCCACCACAACGCAATGCCCACCCCCAACCTCCTTTTATCACAACATTTTCAATTCGAGTCCAAATGGGCTCATTTTTTGCACATACCTTCTTCTATATCTAATGCCTCAATATACCGAAGATCAGCTTCGTCAGGCTCTCGAGGACATCTCAAACGGCAAGAGTCAAAAGAGAGCCTCATTGGAGTATGGGATACCACGATCAACCCTCCAACTACGTCTCCAAGGTGGTCAGACTAGGAAAGTGGCTTTGCTGACTGGCAGAGGCTGTCTCCTGACCAGGAGAGTAAGCTGGCACAATGGGTTCGCATTCAGGCTTCGCTGGGCCTCGCACCAACGCACCAACAGGTGAAGGAATTCGCAGAGCGAGTTCTGGCTGCTGCTGGGGATACCAAACCATTAGAAAAGGCTGGATCTATGCCTTCGTGAGAAGGAACCCTATCATTAAGGTTCAGAGAAGTCGTTCCATCGATTCTAGACGCGTTAATGGGGCATCTACTGAGGTCATTAGGAACTGGTTTAAGTTCCTTGCTATCCCTGAGATCAAGGACATCAAACCAGCCAACAGATATAATATGGATGAGACTGGCATCCTCGAGGGTCAGGGAGCTAATGGGTTAGTGCTGGGCATGGCTGAGACGACGTCTGTTCGCAAGAAACAACCTGGGTCGAGGGCATGGGTCTCTATCATTGAGTGTATCTCAGCCTTGGGTGGGCACTTCGTCCTCTTATCATTTTCAGGGGAAGACGGTCCAACAACAGTGGTTTCCATTACATCTGGTTCCATACGATGGGTGGGAGTTTACAGCAACAGATAATGGCTGGACTACAGACTTAACTGCCATTGAATGGTTAGAGAAGGTGTTTATCCCACAGACTATGCCCGAGGCTGAGGGCGAGGCTCGACTGTTGATTGTGGATGGGCATGGTCATACGACGACAGACTTCATGTGGAATTGCTATATTAACAATATCCATTTACTGTTCTTACCACCACACCTCTCATGTCCTCCAGCCACTTGACCAGTCTGTCTTCAGCCCTGTTAAGTCAGCCTATCGGAAGGAGCTCGGTTACTTGTCTCAATGGAACGACTCTACCATTATAGGTAAAAGGAACTTCCTGGACTGTTACCAGAAGGCTCGACTTGCTGGTCTATCAGTCTCGAACATCAGAAGTGGTTGGAAGTGGACTGGTCTACACCCTGTAGCGATGGTTAAGCCCCTGATGAACCCTATGGTATTACCTGAGCCTTCTGCTAAGCCCACCACACCCAAACCAACCAGTCGGGGCAAAAGCGATGCCATAATGGTCAACAAACTACCCCTGTTGAGCCATGGGATTCTGCTTCCTCTGCAGTGGTCTGGTCGACACCCAGGAAGCTGGCAGAGCTCAGCGGTCAACTGCACTTATACACCCAACTCGACAATGATACCAGCACTCAACGGCTGCTGTTCAGGAAGGTGAAAAAAGGCTTCACAGAGCAGGCCTGGCAACTGGCAGCTGCCCAGCAGCAGCTGGCTCACCTGAGGGCTCAAGTTACCAACGCTGCAGTTAGGAAGAGGAAGACTGTTCAGATCGATCCCAACACGAAGTTTGCGAACATCAGGGATATCCATCGGGCTCAAATCGAAGCGGGTGAAAAGGAGGTTATTACGGCTGAATCCAGCGACTCTGAATGCCCTAGTGAGGCTGGCAGTTGTATTGTAGTGGGTGTGGTTGAGGATCAATAGTTAATAGTAATGAGGAGGTTGGGTTGTGATCCCATCGTTTTTGTGGGTGCCAGAAACAGGGGGGTGCCAGGAAGTGGGGGGTTTGACTTATTAACTTGGGCCCCGACGGATGGAGCTCCCATCATAATGAGTTGGACAAGTTCTACGTACCTGGTGGTCTGGCGGAAAAAGCTATCAAAGACGCCTTGAATGGCGAAGAGTCGGAAAAGGTGCTAACAGCAATGCGCGCACCTGCACCTATCCATACGCTGACGCCTTGGGACTTTCGGCCTATGAATATTGTGGTACGTGTGCCCGATGACGAGGGGATGGCCTCGGATCTCGCGGTCGTGGACTGGGAGTTATGTCACTACGGTGATCCTTCTAACGATGTTCGCATGTGGTTTGCTGAAGTTGTCATACTGGAGGCAAAGTTTGGCAACAGGGGCCTGCTCTCGTCGTTTTTGTCGGCATATAAGCAACGGGTTGGTAGTGCTGTCGTAGACGAATCATTTGTGTCCAGAGTTGCTTTGAGTGCCGGCATCTATATGCTGTGGCTTATTCCCATCAACCCTCGGGTTTGGGATTGCACAGAGGAAGATGTGGAAGCTTGGAAGAAAACAAGCCTAGACTATATCAGAGCAGGCGCAAATGGAGATGTCGCCTGGCTGAGACAAAGCTGCTTGGGGCCTTTGTTGGCATGATGTAGTGTAGATGGGATAAATCAGTGATAAAAGATTTCTCAAAATGACCTATTTCTACTCCTCAGTGTGTAATTCGATATGAGGTTGATAAGGAAGTGAATAAAATGGAAATCTTTCAAGATCTTTAAAATGCTTGTTTCTTTACAATGTTCAAAAAGCTCATGCTTCTCAGAACATATCAAGAACTATATTTCTCTCTACCTAGGCCTTTGCATCACGTTCCATGAGGAGACAACATTGAATAGCATGTTTAGTCTAAGATGTCCCATTCGTCTTGTTGGGGAGCCATGCAACATCTGCTGATGCCCTCGACTTTCCAAAATCCGCGCCTGGGTAATTATACGCAGTGTACGCTTGCGCCCGCTTTCCATCTCGCACTGGAACGCGGAATCCCAAAAGCCCCAGTTGTCTGTCAGACAATTTTGCCTTGGTCTCCGCGTTCATGAGCTCCGGGTAGTTCTCCATGGCCTGCAAAAAGAAGCGGCAGAATGCTGACAGAATGACAGGTCGTGTCGTGTCCGACGTGTTCACGCCAGTCGAGTGCCAGGTTCGGCTGTCCAAGAGCACACATGTTCCAGCGGGAGCTGCCGCCGGAACGGATCCGCCCTAGTAATAATAAGTAAGATATAGAGCAAATTTGGGGCAACCTATGATGCAAATCAAATGGCAATTACTTACAACTTGATTAATAACAAGCGGCGCGACATTCTTGTTGTGAGACCCGGGATACATACGGGTGGCGCCTCTCTCTTCCGTAACATCCACCAGATACCACATAGCATTCAAAAGGTAAGCGTGATCAATTGTTTCGGGGGTCAGTCCCATCTGATCACGATGCATATAGATACCAGACTTTGCAGGTCGAGCAATGTTGGCGCCCATAGAATGGAGCTTGAACGCATTACCTAGGAACCAGGGCATAATTGCGTCGATAAGAGGATGATTCAAAAGATCCAAAAACTCATCGCCTTTGTTGGGAAGACTCCTATATGAAATTGTCAGTTGGCCGAGTCCAATGCGATTCGGAAGAAGCTTAAGAAATCTTGAAGATGAAAGGCACAAAAGTCGAATTTTAGCTTACCAGACTCGTTGATTCGGTTGATCGTCAGCATGCACATGGGCACCATCCATGTGAGCAACGCCGGCCAATCGTTCGCCAGCTGCTTGTTCCTCAACGGCAGCCTTGAGAATCTCAACCTGATCCGCCGAAAGAGCATTCTTCACCATCGCGTATCCCCATTTCTGAAGATCGCGTTTGATCTGCTCAATGTCCTCAGTGGGTTTCGGCAGGTCTTGAGGATACAGCTTATCCGCGTTGACAGCAGCCTGGGGACGTCCGCCCGGAGCAAAGCACATTGGAAAGCTCCCACGACAAGGAGGCTTCGCGCGCTTGCCAAAAGCGTGAACCGCGTGCATGCGGCCTTCAATTACATCGAGGATGTACTCCGGCATAATATTTACCGTGACTCCAGGCTGAACATCATCTGGGATGTTGTCGAGCAGTGCTGCAGTCGTTGATGTGGAATCAATGAAGATAGGGGTGCTCAAGTACTCTGATCCATCCCCGAGCTTGAGCTCAACGAGAGTACCAAGTCCATCAAAGTCCTAGATATTATAATGAGCTATGGCTAAATACTGTGGCTATAGAAAAATGAAGACCATCATCACTGAGTTACAATTACTATGAAATGATCCAACATACTGCCAGTCTTTTCTCGATGTATTCACGAACGCGAGAAATATTCTGCTGAAACACCCTTCGAGGGTCGTCTCTGGTTACATCGTAAGGCTTGCCTTCGAAGACAAGTCCAGAGATAAGGGAGCTAGTCGGTGGCGGAAGAGTCGATGCCATGTTGGGTCCTTGAGAAGCAATAATCGAGGTGAAAGGTTTGAAACTGGGGAAGGTTGGAGCCTTGGAGACTTCTGATGGCGCTCACAGTCTCGCGACGAGCAATGGATAATACTCAGGAGATTCAGCTCAGACCTACTATGCACTGCATCGATATGTTGAACATATCTTCTGTGTTATCCACACTGTATATGTATACATAGACCCCACCTTTGGCATCGTAAAAGATGCCGTAGCCGGCTTGGGTTCACGACTTTGCTTACAATGTCGCAGTGAAAGGCCCCTGTCTTTGCCAAGCCTGTACTGCGTGGCTTTCTGACGAGAAGTTACATTTTCGATTCAAGTTGTGAACTTTTCTGTGCTGGAAAGATGTTGCCTGACCTTATTTGTTGATGTTCACCGCTTCACCCGCCGGTCCAGATTTAGAAATCCTCTCCACTTCCGATCAAAGTTCTACCTGCAAAGATTAGTGATAGGAAATTCATAAAGTCTGACTTTACGTGCGGATGCGGGTCTATAGAATAGTGAGGTAGAATGACTGCCTCGGCAATGCCTATCGTTTGGGTAACTAGGAGTGTCGATAGAGTTAGGCGAAATTATATTCATACAACGAACTTGGGTTGAAATAGACTTTGCAGGCGTGCCTCTCAACGTCGCATTCGTATCTTGGTCCCTTACTGCGTACTTGTAGTGCTAGTCAGTTATATCGGGTTAGCGCCAAGCGGTCTACGTTGCCGACCATCCATGTCTCGGCCGGGTATCGAAGGGCTTGGTGAACCCTTCTCCCCCACAATCAATCCGGTCTCCCGGAGCCAAGCGCTCCGTTCTCTTGAGTCATGAACTTCAGTAGCAACTCCAGTTCGGGCCATTGTACGGATACTCTGGGCTACGATTACGAGTGTAATGACAACCGGGGTCCATTGACGCGCCGCTCTCGGCCGGTCGCTGGTGATTCAGGCAAGGAGGCTACCATTCAGAAATTTGCACCGGGGTTTTCTTCTTAGTTCTGATAGCTCACGATTCACATTCGACATGTAAAATGTTTCCGGTCACCGTCGGTCCCGCGGGTACGGGAATTTCTTCCGGCCGACGCTCCACGTCTGAAAGCTAACAAGGACGCAGGCGAGAGCACGGCCCTCTAACATGAGATTACAGAATTTCCTGGGAAGAGCGGTTAATGAAGATTTGCCGACTACATTTGCGGAGCTTTACGGCATTCACCGCACGTCATTGATGCAGAAGAATACCCCAAGACGGGGTACCCGATTAAATGCTGACAGTTCCACCACGTCGGGACGAGAATAAAGTTCAGGGTCCCAGTTGACGTGTTTGTCTCTGTACCTCGACTACGAGACTGGGGATCCATGTTTGAGACCCTGGTTGCATTTAGTGGAGAGTTCCATGCCTCATGCCAAGTATTCTTATTTCTGAGCTATGACACTACGGAGCGCAGGAGCGCATTCGCTCTCCAACCAAAGCGAGGCACACGCTTACAGTTCGCGCCATCAAGTTAGAAGTACATTGGCCTTGCATCAGCGGTGGGAGCTGGGACAGCCTTCGGCTCAGGCGGTGTAACCCACTCCTTCCACGGCTGAAGTCGACTTTCTTCTGGGAATGGACCGTTGGGACCAGGCCCATCCTTCTGATACGGCGCGGGCTCCAGTACAATGAACCTTGCCTCAACACTGTACCGCGTTGGGCAGCCGGGCCGAGCCGCTCCATTTCGAAAGGCAGCATGGGGTACAACTATGTGCGGGGCTCATTAGTTAAGGTTTCTTGTCCATTGGCCGACTAGACCAGTCTCGGTCACCACTTGGCGGGCGGTGATATGCTCGCGCCGATTAATGATCGGCAACTTACTGTTGAAAAAGCCACCTGGCGGGTGGGTGTCGTACTGTGTCATGATAACAATCTCGTCAGGGGTCTGGTTGCTCATCCAGTACCATCTGTGGGCAGGATTCCAGGAAAAGTAGGCAACTTCCTTGGCTGCTTCGTGGGTGATGCGGTCAACCGAGACAACATCGGCGAGATCGATGTTGGTCCTTGGATCGCACACGGCGAAGGGAATGTCCTCGGCATGATTGAACATCGGGCGCCAAATACTAAAGAAGAATGTCAATCACAGCGAAGCCGAGGAAGAGTTTTGGTCGCTGCATACTTGATGATTCTCGCCCGGCTTTGACCTGAGAGGACACGTTGCCGTTCTTCCTCGGTCAAGAACAGCGATATTCTGCTCCAAGAACTGGCCACGGTATTATCTGCAGCCATGATTCGTATTAGCGGTAGAAAGAACAATGTGCCGACAAAAATAATGAGAATTTTCTCACCCAAGTGGGCGAAAGGAAGGTGTCCTGTGCGGCCTCCTTGCGAACGTGCATCTCGAAACTGATTTTAGGTCAAGTGCGGTTAGCAAGTATGATATTGCCACCTGATGAAGGCTTCTGTCATCCAAACTAGAGTAATTACTAACATTGGCATTGATGGGAAAAATCTCATCTGTACCAAATCGAGATTTCCTGCAAATCATCAGCGTCTTTGCTTGCACAGCTATGATGCATACGTACAAAAATTGAGCCATCTCTTCCAAGTAAGGTTTGCAGTCATCCGCTCCAGTCATTTTCGAGAGCTCTTTGGACTTATTCTCGAGGAAACAGAAGCCATTCTCCTCAATAGTAGGTTTGAAATCTGGCAGCGTTCGTATGTCGGTCAGATTAAGCTTGCATTGCACACTCGTCAACATCTTCGGTCTTTTTCTCCAACAAAATCTACCTGAAGCTTACTTCCATGTCCTTCATGACGAAATTTGACTTGGGGAACGACTGCCCGTCAGGGCCATCCCAGGAGTACGGCTTCGCCGTTTTGTGGAGATCAGTTCTCTCGAAGAAAGCAGTGACTGCTGCCATAATTGTTAATGATAACTGGAAGGATAAAAATGCGGAAGCAATTGCGTGTTACAGGAGTTTGTCCAAAGAAGGGACCAACGGTGCCATCTTCAATGAGAGGCGTAACGGAGCATACTTATGCCCACTTCAGTGCCGAGCTGTCGTAGCCTGGTACGAGGCAAACAGTAGCGTGAAAGCACAAAATGATATGACTAGACAACTGTCCCAGGTGCAGGGGATATGGGTCGAGCGGGGAACCAAGTTCGGGCAGACTTGTGCGCTTTTCGCTGCCGTCTCAAAGTCAGGTCGCAGTCCCTGCTCTCCGTCACCTCAAAACGCTGGCCCGCCTCAACCGACGGAGTCTCGCGATATATGAACTCGACTCGGGTGAGACTTCTTCAGCCGAAGAGCCGAAGAATTACACCGGGGCCATCAGATTATCACCATATTCTTGTTGGTGCAAAAGAGCCTTGCTTTCAAAATGTTATCATTTTTATCGTCAGCCGGGCTGTTTTGCCTTGTGACTACGTTGTGGCTCGTGACAGTCGCAATATTGCGCGCCTTTTACAACCTCTTTTTCCATCCACTTGCGAGATACCCAGGCCCGCGACTGGCAGCCATCACTCCACTGGTTCATGTCTACCACTTCGTAAATGGCGATGCTGTCGGCTGGCTCGATAAGCTCCACGCAGAATACGGCGACGTTGTGCGCGTCGAGCCTGGCCGTCTGAGTTACATCACGCCTCAGGCTTGGAAGGACATATATGGACATGCGACGGCCACCCGCAAAGCCAACTCGAAAGAGAGGAAAAACAGCAAGAATCTCTTCTCTAACGGGAGTTACTCGATTTCGTCAGCTCACGGTCCTGAGCACCAGCGCCTACGCAAAATCTTCAGCAATGCATTCAGCGACCGAGCCATCACGAAGCAGGAACCCATGCTGGCGCTTTATGCACAGCAAATGGTCGATCTAGTTTGTCGGAAGATCTCTAGCGAGAAAATCTCTCCTGGAACAACTGTTATGGATGCTGTCCAGCTCTTCAATTTCGCCACGTTCGATATCATGGCAGATCTTGCATTCGGCGAGGCACTTGGCTGCCTCGAGAACGGCGGATCAAATGCTTGGGTCGACGCTGTCCAGGTGAATTTCAAGCGGATGATCGTCAAGGCAAGATTGAGGCCTTACCCGGTAATCTCATACTTGTGGCATCTATTCCAGCCGGAACAAGATAAGAAGGCTGCTGCTGTGCACGTTAAGAGCTCGCATGAGCGTGTCACGAAGAGGTTGGCCAAGGGCGCTGATGCCAGAAACGATATCTGGGGACTCGTTCTCAAGGCCGAGGGTCCGAACGCGTTGACTCGTACCGAAATGAACAACAATGCCAACAACTTGTGAGTTGCTCCTGGTACCTATCTGAGTCTACGCATGTTAGTGGCTGACACACGCGGTTTGCCTTTTCCTACATCTAGCATGATTGTTGGCACCGAGACATCAGCGACAGCGCTGAGCGCTCTCACATATCTTTTGCTGAAGTCTCCGGGAAAGCTTGAACGACTAGTTAGAGAAGTGAGATCGGTCGGCGACTCGAACCAGCTGAAAGGCGATGTTCTCAAAGACTTGCCATATCTTCAGGCGTGCCTCACCGAATGCCTCAGATGTACGAAGATGTTTCCAGTCTCTCGTCAACATAAAGCACAACTGACGGTTCATTGTAGTACACCCTCCTGTCCCGACGGGTGGTATGCGTGTCGTTGGTGAAGAGGGTAACACCATCCTCGGTCATCTTCTCCCCGAAGACGTTAGTATTACCTTCTTCAGTACCATCTCATGGCTCTTTTGATGAGGGCCCGTTCCATGGCTAATTGGGCCACCTTCTAGACTAAAATGTCGATCGCGACCTGGACTGCCTTCCGTATGCCTCGGTACTGGAAAGATGGCAACGAGTTCATCCCCGAAAGATGGATTCCAGGTGAGCGTGGGTATGATGAGTACCACACATACGACCAACATAGTGTGTTCCAGGTATTTGGGACCGGTCCGCGCGCTTGTATCGGCAAAAAGTAAGTTTCCCGAACGTTTTTCGAAGGCTAATGCCTTCACATCGATACAAATTCGCTGACCTGTTGAATCAGTCTTGCATTGCAGGAAATGCGTCTCTTATACGCCACCTTTCTGTTCCATTTTGACATGGAATTATGTCCTGAAAGTGACCGATGGATGGAAGATCAGAAGTGTTGGACTTTGTGGTTCAAAGATAACCTTCAGATTCGTGTTTCCCAGAGGAAAGACATATGAGGTCGCATTTAGAAAAAGCAGTTCAGTGTTCACGAAACTAAGCTGGAAGTGAAGTCGATTCAGCAGTTTTACTTGACTGAGGTGTATGAGGTAAAACTCATCGCTAAATACATGTAGAAACGGATTCATCTGATCAAAGCGAACTAATAGTGCATGGTGTCCTTTTTACCAAGGTGACGAATGTAGTTCGTCATCTTGGTAATATCCTCTCTTTTCTGAGGAATGTGATGTCCACCTTCAAAGTTGATAACATGAGCGACCTTCGAGGAGTAATGCGTTGCAAGAGTATCTCTAGCCTGCCCCAAGTTGCAGTCCTGACTGCCGTGAAGATGCAATGTAGGCACCGAAATCTTGGCAATGTCACCGCCCTCTGACTTGCTGCGGATATAATCTGTCGCGACATCACTATAAGCGCAGCAGACCAACACTCCAAACTCCAATCGCGGGAGCCACGGCACCAATCCAACCTCTTGCTCCCACAGCAAGACTGTACTTGCTAGCCCACCCTGCGAGAAGCCCAAGACGCCAACAATTTTGACGTGCTCGTTCTCCAGCTGCCAGTCCTGTACTGCCATCTTGATGGCTTCGTTGAACACGGCAACTTCGCCTTCGGTGTCGGTTGCGCCCTTGCGAAACCAAGAGAAAAACGACTTCATTCCGGCAAAGAAGGGAAGAACATCTGGGCCGGGGACGGCAACGTGGGGTGCGGTGGCAAACACGAACTCGAAATCCTCTTTGAGAGCTGCACGGAATCCCGCGAGTTGGAAACGGAATATGTCTGGTGAAGCACCGCCACCATGAATGCAGAGGATGGCCCGTGTTGGCGATCTTTTCAGCGATGTGACCATTGCGGCTGTGATTTGACAGGTATTTCTCTGCGTATGGGTAGAGAGATGAGACAGAGATGAAAATCTTGCCTCAGAATGTATAAGAGTTGTGAAAATAATGAACTGAGTGAGTCTGGTAGGCAAGGTTCTTGGTGCTGGAAGTATGAGTGGCTCCGAGGACAGGTGAGGAGAGTAATGTTCGGGAGATATTTATGTGCCTCGATGAGTTTATTGTATCAGATGAAAGAAAGCACAAGCCCACGGAGGCTTTGAACAAGGTACTTCGGCCGATTTCAGTGGGTCAAGGTAGATTTGAGGAAGAGAGCACTGTATGACTTTCTCCCAGGGCCTTATCGCATCATGCTTGCTCGACTTGATGACTTTGGCCCGCGGACCTTGAGCAGTCGGCAGGAATGTTCTCAGGCTATGATTGTTACTTTTATTGAGAGAGGTTGGCAGGATTATGGCTCCTTCCAATGAGCATGTTTCCTTAGTTGTCTGCATATCTAATCAAGCATTCATGCGTACAACTACTTTCTCTCCAGAGAGTACCCTGTTTCGGACCATTTCCATCCCCGCCAGAATTGCCTCGAATCCACCGTCTAAAACACGAAGCGGATGATGTTGCAACTTTCCTTCGTTGATCAACTTCTCTACAGTTTCCCAAACAGAGACCCCAAAGACGCGCAGTTCTTCCGACGGATCGCTCTTGTAGGGCTCAGGCCAGGTGCATCCTTCCCCAAAGATTCGAGGGCCGACTGTAAAATCCGCGGTGACAACTTTTCGAGTCGCAGCATGCTGTTGCCAAGGGTCAAGAGACACGTACTTGCCGCCGCCTCGTCCGATAGCAGCGTAGCAAAAGGCGGTAGACTCGACGGTCGTGATGCAGTCCAAGGCATATTTCAGGTTTCCTTTCGTGTATGTTTTCTGATCGTGAAAGATGATCAGTCAGCTATTGGTTGCCTTACGATTACGCAACATGGAAACTTCGGATTATAGCAACTCACAATCTTTTTCGCCAACTCTTTGTCATTGCGATCGAAAACCTCTACGGCCTGGTTTCTTCTCGCTAGGTCGAAATTTTTCGGGGAACAAATAGCAATCGGATCGAGACCGGACCTATTCACGATGACCACGTCAGATATTTCCACAAAGATATGGTAGATGATTTGACTTACAGTTTCAGCATTTGCATGGCAATTGTAGCAGTTGCTGTACTGGCCCCATAGACCAATACATGGGCAGGCTTCGCAGCTCCTTGACCGGGCAGAGGCAAGCCAAGCAGCTTCATGGCGATTCCGGCGGTGCTTACACCTACAGGCAGAGATGCAGCAGCTTCAGTGCTCCAAGATTCTGGAACCTTTGTCCACATCTTACCACGAGTCACGGCGTACTCGCAGAATGCACCGCGCTCAGGCGTGGTTCCGTACATCTCGTTCTGGGCACCAAAGACCCTATCGCCAATCGTGATATTGTCAACCTCATCTCCCACAGCGACCACGGTTCCTGCGAAATCTGCACCTAGGATGCCGAACTTCGTCGCAAAGGCTCCCCTCATCTTGGTATCACTCGGATTGAGGCCGACGGCCTCAACGCGAACCATGACTTGGTCCGCTGGGATCTTGGGACATGGTGCCTCGTCCCAGATGACGACCTCGTCCTTGCCATTTACCACGATGGCCTTCTGAGTCGTCGGAGGGACAAAATTTTGATGCGAAAGACTGCCCATGCTGAAATTTGTCGATGTTGACTTGGAAAATCAGCCCGGAATACCTTGTTTACCTTATCCTCTGTTGCTGATTCTTACCTGTTAAACCACGTCCCCTTACTTACCTACCTACGTAGTACAAGTGAGTACTCTCCATCGGTGTTCCTCAGACGGTCTTGGTTCGTTCACCCACTCATCCACTTTACCTGAACGTGTAATCCTCGATCAACTCAACTTCTACAACATCCCTGAATCGGGAACCCCGCTGTATCTCGCAAGAATCCTCGGGTCTTTGCAAAGGAGTACGTACCGAGTGGGACACAAATTCGCTACCCGGATAGAATTATACGACCGTATGGATAGATACCCTTGCAAATCCGGGAAAAGCATAACCGGCTGTACTACACATTTGAGGACTCGGGGACCTGTGAAGATCGCGATATGTATTACCGTTTTCTGTACCCACTAGTCAGTAGACTGTATCCGTAGGACAACGGCTCAGGGAGTTATGGACCCCAGGCCTTTGTGGTCCAGATTCAAACTTTGTTTTGACTTTCCTAAAGTGAGAATTCAATACGTGGTTACCTTTTCGTCGGGCACATTCACGTTACTACGGATACTTCGTAGATGCATCGATGTGATCCCCCCCTGTTCATCTAATTTTCAACCGAGGCCATCCTTGATGATGAAGACAAATCATCACGGGGTCATTAAGGCACTGTTGCCGCTTACTAATGTGTAGCTTGGTACGGATATGATATTCTTTGTTACAGCTCGCCTGTCATGATGCATACTACCCTTTAACTCTGCAAGGACCCCAATTCCAGGGTCCATCGAGAACATCTTGAACCTATCAAGTAGAGTTTGGAGATCGCCATAGAGTTTCGGATGGCTCCGCTGATTATCATTGGAGTGGGATCCTTTCACCTCCACCTCTGAGGATACCCCAGTTGTTCGAGTACCTGTACTTCTCTGCCCAGGCAATGATCGCATCCCAGTCCTTGCACTGATGCTGATATCCCCACCCCGTCCCGACCTGTTCGTTGTACTTGCGCCACTCGAGCGTCACATCTGCATTACACATAATAGTCTGTCGTAGGTAATCCCAGCAATGGTTGAGGTGTTCGGAATTCCAACCAGGATCTGTGGGCAATTCTCTCTTTGTCCCCTCGTTCTTGTTCAGGCGGTCGATAAGCTCATAGTATGCGTCCATAGTGCTATACTATTGTGGAGTTAATATTGAACCAGAGTCAGCAGCGATTCAGTTATCTTGGGAGGCGGAAATCCGGCATTATGTGCGAAAGGGAGAATGAGACTATTCGGTGTGACGTACAAGACAATGCAGTTGATGAAAGACCGAGGGATACGCGCGGTGTTCCGGAAGTGATTGGTTCAGCCCCGGCAAGTCAGGTAAAGCAGTCTCGTTCTTGACCGTAACCCAACCCCGCCCAACTATTATCAAATATCAGCAGTCCGTCAGACGTTAAGACTACTTGGAAATTTCCTTTCACGGTCAATCCGGGGAGGTGGGGGAGGGAAGAAGGGGGGGGGGGGCATTTACTTGGCAACAATCTGTTCCACGCCTCGATGCTTTCAGGGTTAGGAGGCTGGCCGTATAGTTTATTCCCATGCAAGACCTTTTTCACAGGGACTATGATACCAAAGTTAGTGTCAGATCAGTTATCAAATAACACGTTGTCCACTTTGTCTGGACGTCCACACTTGTTCCTGGTCATCTTCATGGTTGCCCAGGCAGAGGAGATAGGATATGGAGTTAACGTACTCTGGGGTGGAAACCACTCTGGTTGCGCCGGGTAAATAACCGTTGCAGGAGACTCGGGGAGATAGAATGCCGGGCCGTGAAATACGACGAGAATTAAGACCGCCGCAATGGAGATGGCATTCGAAAGTGATAGAGCAAGAATGATCAACTGAAAGCGCGGCAAACGACCAGTGGCCCTGGTGGACCGTCCGTCGTCACAAGGTTCACGAGAATGGAGTAGGACGGCATTTTCGTCCTCCGTAGTCGAGAGTCTCGGTGTATCGACCATGTTCGTGCCGTTCTCTTCGTTTGAGAAGTTCTTGGCGGATTTCGCCATCATGCTTCCCTGTCGTCAGAAGTGGGTAGTTTGAATGGGGGATATGTTAGTTGTCAGTCTTTCCTCAGAAGTAGAAGGTGTTTTTATAACCGTTTCGGTGGGAAAAGCTGGTCGCATTAGGTCAAATCAGGTAAATTCGCCGTGTGTAGAATGTTCCTTGCACGCAGACCATACCCACAGGAGGGTCCTCTCTCATCACATTTGACTGAGCCACATTCATGTACAGTGTTTTGATGTACTGTGACACCTACGTCCAGATAGAGGTCTTGAAGTCGAAGACGAGATGCTCCGTCAGATTCATCGGTCGACGAAGTTAATCGGAATCCGAGTCGCGGGGCTTAAGGACTCGTGATAGAAGTCTCTTGTCACTTGAATCGCTGAATGATTTCTACTTAACTCGTGTTTCTCCCACTCGCTGACTCATTACTTCCCAAACATTCATCTAAGTCCCTCATTCCGGCTTCTTCCCGATCATTATTAGCGTCATGTCGCCGAACGAGCCCATTGTTGTTGTTGGAAGTGCATGCCGGTTTCCGGGCGGTGTTGATAGCCCAGCAAAGCTATGGGAACTCTTGAAAGAACCGAAAGATTTGCAATCTGAAGTTCCAAAGGAGAGATTCAACATCGACGCATTCTACCATCCCGATGGCTCTCACCATGGCAGGACCAATGCCCGTCACGGATACTTTCTCGATGAGACACCGAGGGCTTTTGATGCGTCGTTCTTCAATATCCAAGCCGGCGAGGCGGAAAGCATAGATCCGCAGCAGCGGTTGCTCCTGGAAACCACCTACGATGCTGTGGCCGCAGCTGGATACGGACTACACGATCTTCGCGGGTCTGATACCGCAGTTTACGTCGGCTTGATGACCCACGACTTTGAGCTCGTCAAAGTCAACGACATAAGCTATAGCCCAACGTACTTCGCAACGGGTGCTGCTACAAGTATCGCGTCAAACCGTTTATCATACTTCTTTGATTGGCATGGCCCTAGTGTAAGAATGCTATTTAGTTGAATCCACGACTACTATGTAAATGTTCTTAAGCTAACTGTGGTTATAGATGACTATCGATACTGCATGCAGTTCCTCTCTGGTTGCAGTGCATCTTGCGGTGCAACAACTGAGGAGCGGATCGAGCAAGACAGCTATAGCAGCTGGCTCGAATTTGATCTTGTCTCCAAGTACGTGCACTGCCTTTTCTGAAAGACGAATGACTCGGAAATACTCACATTTCATCTCTCATAGTGAATTACATCACGGAGAGCAAGCTGAACATGCTTTCACCCACGGGCAGATCCCGAATGTGGGATGCTGCAGCCGACGGGTACGCGAGAGGTGTAAGTCCTGTCCCCCATTGCCTGTCGTGCATGACCCATAAGGACATAACTGCAGGAAGAGAAATTGGCTCGATCGTCGGACTTTCACTGACCGAAAACGCAATGTCTCTCAACAGGAAGGCGTTGCCACTGTGGTCCTGAAGACGCTTAGCCAAGCACTACTTGATGGCGACTCCATTGAGTGTGTCATCCGTGAAACGGGCATCAACCAAGATGGACGCACAACCGGCATCACGATGCCGAGCCATGTTGCTCAAGAGACCCTCATTCGCGAGACTTACGCTCGGGCTGGTCTAGATATTGCGCAAGCTGAGAATCGCTGCCAATTCTTCGAAGCTCACGGTAGGTACCAAGCATGAGGGTGGGATTGGAACGTTTGCTTACCCCCGACTCACAGGAACTGGAACGCCAGCGGGTGATCCTCAGGAAGCTGAGGCAATCTCGAAAGCTTTCTTTGGCAGTCAGGACAGTTCAGACAGTGAGCGCTTGCTTGTAGGAAGTCTCAAGACCGTCATTGGACACACCGAGGGCACTGCTGGTATTGCCGGCTTGTTGAAGGCCTCACTTGCTGTACAGAACGGCGTTATTCCTCCCAACTTGCTATTCGAAAACCTCAGTCCCAAGGTTGCGCCCTTCTACAAGAACCTCTCTATCACCAAAGAGGCTCAGCCGTGGCCAGAACTCAAGCCTGGTCAACCGCGGAGAGCAAGTGTAAACTCGTTCGGTAAGCTCTTCAGTCAGACCGGTTCTAGACGTCTCGGACATTGCTAACCATTGCTAACGAAGGAAAGGTTTCGGTGGCACCAATGCCCACGCTATTATTGAGGAGTACAAGACCTCAGCTTCGAGCACGGAAACGACGTCGAAGCCAGAGTCTCAGGTCACTTCAGCTGCATATGCCTTGCCTCTTGTGCTTTCTGCCAAGTCAGAGCGATCGCTAAAGAGCCTGATGAAGCAGACTGCTCAGTTCATCAAGTCTAACCCGGATGTCGACATGCTTGATGTCTTTTGAACGCTCCTTCGCAAGCGATCCATTCTCCCTCACCGTCAGACTGTCGTTGGATCTTCCAGGGAAGCTATGATACTCGCCTTAGAAAACGCTCTTTCGGAAAACGCCAGCTCAGAGCCTACCTTGCGCTCCTTCGCCACCAGCCAGGAGAAGCCTCGTCTCCTGGGTGTGTTTACTGGCCAGGGTGCTCAATGGCCTGGCATGATGAGATCGCTCATCTCAGCGATTCCCCAGGTTCGCGACATCGTGGTTGAGCTTGACCGCTCGCTCCAGACATTGCCCGTCGAATACCGCCCTTCTTGGACCCTGCACGAGCAATTTTTGCTCGAGGATGAGGCCTCCAATGTTACCAAAGCCAGCTTTTCTCAACCGCTCTGCTGCGCTGTACAGATTGTTCTGGTGCGGCTACTGGCAGCTGCTGGCGTTGAGTTCACCACGATAGTCGGTCACAGTTCAGGCGAGATAGCGTGCGCCTTCGCTGGAGGCTTCATCAGCGCCTCGCAAGCCATCCGAATTGCTTACCTCCGAGGCCTCACATCCAAGTATGCGAGCTCCCCGAACGGGGGCGAGGGAGGTATGCTTGCGGTAGGAACTTCACTAGAAGATGCACAGGAGCTGTGCGAGCTGGAGATGTTCCAAGGCCGTATCTGCGTTGCTGCTAGCAACTCGCCTGACAGCACCACCATATCCGGTGATGCAGATGCCCTTGCAGAACTGCAAACTGTCTTGGAGGATGAGTCCAAGTTTGTCCGCATGCTCAAGGTCGATAAGGCTTACCATTCGCACCACATGCTCCCTTGCTCGTCGCACTATATCGAGGCTTTGAAGGACTGCGGCTGCGATGTCGCTGATGGGGTCGGTTCTTCAGTGGCATGGTATTCCTCTGTGCATCAGAACAGACGCACGAAGGCAAGCGACGTCACCGCCGAGTACTGGAATGACAATTTGGTTTCTCCTGTTCGCTTCATGCAGGCTGTTGAGGCCGCCGCAATCGAACATAAGTCACTCGATGCCGCCATGGAGGTGGGGTGCCACCCGGCTTTGAAGGCACCTTGTCTGGCGACCCTCAAGACTGTTCTCTCCGAGGAAATTCCTTACACGGGTTGCATGCAGCGTGGTTCCGATAACGTTCAAGCTTTTGCCAGTGCTGTTGGATATCTTTGGGAACGTCTGGGCCTGAACGCTGTCGACCCTGACAGCTTCATCACCAAAGTGATCGCGCCAGGAAAGAGTCTTCGAAGCCTGTCCAAGGCCTTACCACGGTACCCCTGGGACCACAGCCGGACTCATTGGAACGAGACACGCGCGATCAAGGCTCATCTCTACGGTCAAAAGCCTCATCTCCTTCTAGGCTCCCTCTCTGCTTCGAGCACCGGTTCGACATCGCAATGGCACAACACTATTCGGCCTAGGGACCACGAGTGGCTACAAGGCCACGCGCTTCAAGGCCAGGCTGTGTTCCCCGCTGCCGGATACATCGTCATGGCAATGGAGGCTGCTCTCCAGATGGCTGGCGGGCGTTCCGTTCAGCTACTTGAGGTGCTTGACATGAGCATTGATAAGGCTGTTACATTTGAGGACGAGAATAGCCCGGCAGAGCTCATCATCGCGGTAGACACCATTGTCTCTCAGCCAGACCAGATAAAGCTCGGCTTCACGATTGACTCGTGTCTTGCCAAAGAGTCAAAGCCGTCAACATCTGCTACCGGTCAGCTCGTTGTCACATTCGGGGACTCTTCTACAAATGTCCTACCACCCGCAAACGACGACCCTCCGCACCTTACAACAGTCAACATCAAGAACTTCTACCGTGAACTGGATGAGCTCGGATTTGATTACAGCAAGGATTACCGCTGCATCTACAACCTCGCGCGCGCCGATGCGAAAGCTACTGGTCACATGGCCTTCCCGCGTCTTGATGATGGATCTCGTCCAATCGTGTTGCATCCAGCTTCTATGGACTTGGCGTTCCAGACCATCATGGGTGCCTATTCAGCTCCAGGAGATAAGCGCCTGAGGTCCATCTATGTACCTGTTCACATTGACCGGATCAGTCTCGTCCCCTCGCTCTGCGCTTCTGTTGCCGAATCTGACTCGGCTCCCATCGTTCACTTCAACACGGCAAACACGTACGACAAGGGTGACGTTTTGGCCGGAGATGCCACGGTCTTCTCCTCGGGCGATGATAAGCAAGTTCTCTACCGCATCGAGAACCTGCTCTTGCAGCCACTTTCCAAGCCGTCCGAGGCCGAAGACCATAAAGCCTTCACCAAGACAGTGTGGGGCCCCTTGAAGCCCGAAGCACTCCTGGACAACCCGGACCTCTGGGCTACTGAGCAGGACAAGCAAGTGATCCCCATCATTGAGCGTATCTGCTATTTCTACATGAAGGAGTTTGTCAGCCAGCTCACTGAAGAAGACCGCGCCAACGCTACGCTGCCTCACCAGAGATACATCTACTGGAATGAGCACGTCTCGGCCAAGGTGAAGGAGGGAACCTGGCATGAGTGGTATGATCCATCTTGGGAGTCAGATACGCGCGAACAGATCGAGCAGTTGGTTGTAGAGTAAGTTCCGAACAACACTCTAGATTTGGCGCTGGTTGTTGCTAACCACACATACTACAGGAACTCCTACCACCCTCACGTCAAGATGGCGAAGAGAGTGAGCGAGAACACTCTCTCGACCATTCGTGAGAAGAGCAACCCATTCTTGTGGATGGACCACGACGGATTGCTGACGGAGTTCTACACGAGCTACTTGACCAGTGGCCCTGGCTGGCTGTACGGTCAGGAATTGGTCAGCCAGCTTTGCCATCGCTACCAGACGATGGACATCCTTGAGATTGGTAAGTCAGTCCCAGAAAGGCTCCTGTTATGACTTGGTCAGTTCCATGCTAACAGTTCCTACCTAAAGGTGGTGGTACCGCTTCGGCAACAAAGTACATTTTGGACATCCCGCAGTTGGGCTTCAACAGCTACACCTTTACCGACATTTCTCCCGCATTTTTCGAAAAGGCTCAAGAGCACTTCTCAGCACACGAGGATCGCATGATCTTCCAGAAGCTGGACGTCACCAAGAAGCCTGAAGAGCAGGGTTTCAAGCCGCACTCGTACGACATGATCATCGCCTCATCTGTTCTCCATGCCACCCCGAAGCTGGCAGAGACAATGACTAACGTGCGGTCTCTTCTGAAGCCCGGTGGCCATGTCGTTCTGCTTGAAGCAACTCACCGGGACCACACTCGTGTTGGCTACCTCTTTGGTTTATTCCCGGATTGGTGGGCCGGAATCGACGAAGGCCGTGATCTGGACCCCTTTGCAGACATCAACCAGTGGGATGCCATTTTCAAGCAGACTGGATTCTCCGGCGTTGATACCCGCACTTTGGACCGGCATGGTAATCTCTTCCCCAACACCCTGTTCTGCACTCATGCGGTCAACACAAAGGTCGCGCGTCTCGACGCGCCACTTTCCGCTCCTCCTACCGACAAGGCACTTCCCCAAATAGTCGTGATTGGCGGGGGCTCGTCGAAATCAGCGCGGATTTTGGATGAGGTGCGACAGACGTTGTCCGGTCGGGAGATAGTTTCTCTCAAGCGGATTGAAGACGTCCTTGAGTCGAGTATTCCACCCAAGTCGACCTTCCTTGTCCTTTCGGAGCTCGATCATGAGACCTTCTCCGGCATCGATGAGGTCAGATTCAGCGCAATTAAGTCCCTCCTGGAGCTCGCCGGCACTATCCTTTGGCTCACTGAAAACGCATGGATCGAGAACCCCTACCAGGCCATGACAGCCGGTATGCTTCGATCCGCTCGCCTCGAGTACCCCGCCACCCACAACCAGTCGCTTGACGTTGACGACGCTGAGAAGTTGGACACCAATTTTCTAGTCGAGCAACTTCTTCGCCTCGAGGAGCCTACCGACTCGAAGGAAGACATTCTCTGGACACTTGAGCCCGAGGTTTACGTTTCCAAGTCTCGTGCCTACATTCCCCGCATCAAGCACGATATCCAGAGAAACAACCGTCTCAACTCGAAGCGTCGTGCCATCACCGCCTCAGTTGACTCCCATACGACGCCTGTGACCCTCCTGGCGTCGGAAGACACTCTTCATCTGGAGTCATCGGAGACTTTCGGTGCAGTCTCATCCGCGGAGAAGGACTTGGAAGTCAAGGTAGACTTCTCCCTCGGAAACGCTATTCGTGTAGGCGATCTCGGATTCTGGCACCTCGTGCAGGGTACCATCGTGGGCACGGACAAGGCAGTCATGGCGCTTTCGGCTACCAACGCCTCCATCGTCCATGTTCACTCCAGTCATGCCTTTGTTCTCCCAGCATCTGAGGGCGTCGCTGAGAATGCATCTGTCCTGCTTTCAACTGCTGCGATGCTTGTCGCTCAGAGAATCTTCAATGGCATCGCTTCCGGCGCGTCGGTTCTCGTCATGGAGCCGCCAAGCTTCTGTGTCGATGCTATCATCGAGACAGGGAAGAGCAGAAACGTGCAGGTTCATCTCGCGACAGCGGGAGCGCCAGTCTCGTCCTCGCTGCCATGGATCCGGCTGCACTCCCTGGAGACTGATGCGGGCATCAGAAAGGCTCTGCCCGTGAGTCTCTCCGTCTACTATGATTTCTCGGAGGGGGCGAGCTCCATAACTAGCTTGGGCTCTCGTGTAGCCAAACTTCTGCCGCCCGTTTGCCTCAAGTTCGATCGCGGCCACATCTTCCAAAACTCCGCTGAATCCATTTCTTCACTTGGACAAGATGCAGTCCAGCGGCCGCTGGTTGAGCAGGCTGTTCTCGCGGCTGCGGCAGAGGTTCCAAAAAGCGCTGCTTCTCCTGAGGCCGATGAAGAGTCTAGCGTAAAACCCGTCGGCAGCATCACTGACTTGAAGGATGCGCTTGCTACCTCAACCATCATTGACTGGAGAAGCGAGAGTCGTGTGACAGCACGAGTCCGCGCCGTCGACTCGGGCAAGCTGTTCTCCCTCGACAAGACGTACCTCCTCTTGGGTCTTGCCGGATCTCTAGGTCGGTCTCTGGCTCGTTGGCTTATTACGCACGGCGCCCGCCATGTCGTGATCTCCAGTCGTAACCCCGAAACCCCTGACCCGAAGTGGTTGGCAGAGATCGAGAACTTGGGTGGTATCATCACCGTTCTTTCCATCGACGTCTCCAAGGAAGCCTCTATCGATGCTGGGCTCACTCAGATTCGACAGACGCTGCCGCCCATCGGCGGAATCGCCTATGGTCCGTTGGTACTTCACGATGCTCTTCTGGCAAGCATGGACCTTTCCATGATGAATGTGCCCGTCAACTCCAAGGTTGTCGGAGCGCAGATTCTACACGAACGCTTCTCAAACCAGGCCAAGGATCCCCTTGACTTCTTCGTCATGTTCTCGTCGGTTGCGACGGTGGGAGGCAACCCAGGCCAGGCCAACTATACAGCCGCGAACTCGTTCCTCCAAGCCCTCGCTCAGAAGCGTCATATTCAGGGCCTCCCCGCATCGACAATCGCGATTGGCGCCGTTATCGGTGTCGGATTCCTGTCGCGTACCGGCAGAGAGGAAGAGTTCAAGCTCGCTTCTGACACGGACACGATATCGGAAGACGAGTTCCTTACCTTGTTTGCCGAGGCGGTTGTCTCTGGAAGGCGAGCCCCAGGGCCTCAGCCAGTGGCCATTACAGACATATCGGACCTCGAGGTGATCACCGGTATTCCCGAATTCAGTGCCCGCCACAAAGACACCGTCAAGTTTTACGACGACCCGCGATTCGGAAACCTGAAGGTTCCCGAGAGCCGTGCCAACACGGATGGCGCCTCAGGGGCTAAGAGCTCTGTCAAGGAGCAGCTACTGAAAGCAAGGACACTGGATGAGGTTCGCGATATCATCATTGGTAAGAGTTCTTCCCTACAATTCAAGGGATTGGGGTACAAGCAGGTGCTAAGTTGACCAACAGATGGCTTGTCGCAAAAGATGCGCGGCATCCTGCACATCCCTGCCGATGAGAAGGTCAACGCCACGACACCATTGATTGACCAGGGCGTGGACTCGCTCGGTGCAATCACCGTCGGATCATGGTGAGTGATTTTTTAGTTCCTCTTCTTGCAGAACACAACGGCTGACGTGGGCAATTTCCAGGTTTTCCAAGACACTTATGATTGACATCCCGCTGCTGAGAGTCGTCAGCGGTGCCTCAATCGCTGAACTTGCTGAGGAGGCGGCAGGACGACTCTCAAGAGCCGCCATTCCCCTGATTGAATCTGCCGATGGCATCGTCAGCAGCGAAGATGATAGCCGCAGCGGTAGCGACTCGCCCATTGACACATCGAATGCTACATCGATCTCAGACTTGAGGGGTGAAGACGCTGTCTTGGATGACAAGACGGCCACTTCGCGCCAGATCCCGCTGTCTCTCACACAAGAACACTCGTGGAAGCTCCTTCAACAGCTGTCCAACGAGCCGACCATCTTCCATAACACCATCGGTGTGTTCATGAAGGGTTCGGTAGACCTGGATCGACTCGATAAGGCCCTGAATAAGGCCCTCCGCCGTCATGAGATCTTCCGCACCGCATTCTCACCTGAGGGAGAGCAAGTCATCCTGCCTACCCCGGTCACCCGCGCGCGCTATGTCGAGGTCAGTGACAGGGCGGCAGCAGAGGAGGCCTACAAGCAGTTGGAGCATGAACTGTATGATCTTGCCGCAGGTGAAGGACTCAAGATTGTCGACTTCCACTGGGGCCAGGACGAGCATCTGTTCGTCATCGGCTACCACCGCCTTGTGGGCGACGGCTCAACGACGCAGAACTTCCTCGACGAAGTTGGCCAACTGTACGACGGTGCGCAACTTTCGGCGCCGCCGCAGTACTCCAACTTCGCCGCGCGGCAGCGATCCGACGTCCAAAGCGGTCAGATGGACGCCGACATCGCGTACTGGACCTCCATGTACAAGACCCTTCCCGGGGTCCTCCCAGTCTTGTCGCTCCCCAACGCCCAGAAGCAGCGAGACGCAAGCGACCGCGTCGCCTGGAAGCAACACGTCGGCACGCTCCGCCTAAGCGCGATCCTGGCCTTCCGCATCCGCGAGCGCTGCAAGAAGCTCAAGGGCGTAACGCCCATGCACTTTTACCTGGCGGCCTATCACCTGCTTCTCGCACGCCTCTCGGCCGCAGAGGACGTGGCCATCGGCATCGCCGACACCAACCGCGCCAGCATCCAGGACGTTTCAACCATGGGCTTCTTCGCCAACCTGCTCCCCGTCCGCCTCGCGCCCTTCGAGCCGGCGCAGACTTTTGCTGACGAGCTCGAGTCCGTCAAGGAGCGTCTGCGGCAGGCGATGCAGCACGCCCGCGTACCCTACGGCGTCACGCTGGACCGCCTCGGCCTCGCGTCCTCGTCGGCGGAGCTGCCGCATGCGCCGCTGTTCCAGGCCGTCTTCGACTACAGGCAAGGTGCCGCGGAGACTGGACGACTCGGCGGTGCTTCTTTCACCGAGATTTGGGCTTCCCGCGAGCGCACGCCGCATGATGTTGTGCTGGAGATGTCGGATGATCCGGCCAAGGAGCCGCTTGTCACGGTCAAGCTGCAGAGCTATCTGTATGGAGAGGAGGATCCGAAGGCATTTTTGAGTGCCTATGAGGCGACCTTGACCAGCTTCTCGGAGAATACCAAGCTGGCAGTCGCCCAGGATTGAGGAGTTTGCTAGAGTTCTGTAGTGGGAGGTTCTCCTGAAGGAGTAGGCTTTGTAGGTCCGCTTGATTAATAGAAATCAATGCACAAATCTTCAAATGAGATCAATGCCCGCATAAACTGATTGCATGGCTGGAGAGACACTTTGGCTTAACTCTGACGTGAAGATATGGTTCGATGCTGAAATGTCACATCTCATCAACGTTGCTACGTTTGATTCAGCAAGCGTCTGTCGTGCCACTTGACTTGAATTGTACAAGGTACAGCCAGCTTGTTGATCCCATCGTTGTCTTTTAGACATCGGTCTAGGCCTGCCTTTGCTGAAGCCTTCGAAGACTCGGTCCAACAACTCTTGACATGAGGCGCCTTGTCTCAATATTCAATACAAAGTGAAGGAATCGCTTTCCCAGAGGTAGCCAAAGGTAGACAACGGCAACTGCGATATCTGCAAAGGATTCTCGAGTTGTCGACTCCAAAAAACCACTCGACCCATGGAAACCCGCATATCCCACCAGCCCGCCCAAACTCCACAACCGCAATTCCACCTTACCTAAAAGAGGACTTTGGGCTCCGCAACTTTGCAGAATCGCGCACAAAAAAACGCATCTCCAAGACTTCATAGTCAGATTCCCAACCTCGACCACCAATCATCCCTGCATCTTAGGATACAGGTGATGCAGGGCTGCTGGCGCAACGGTAGCGCGTTCGACTCCAGATCGAAAGGTTATCCGTTCAAATCGGGTGTGGCTCATTCTCTTTTGCTATTTGTTGAGGCTATCACGAAGGCTATCATTTTGATGTTGTTGATGAGGGTTTGGGTGATGGTGGTTGTGGATGGGAGAAAGGAGCAGGCTTTTTTGATGTGGGAGAGGAAGACGTGCGGAGAAGAGCACAGGGCATGCCTTCCCGTTGCGTTCTGGTTCCGCCTATCAGAGCGTCTACCTTAAGGTAGGTACGGGGTATATGTGGCTGATTGGCAGCAGGGCGTATCAGATAAACCTTCAGCAAATCAAGTTTGCCCCTGGCTGCTTCCGAAAAATGGGAAATGCGTTGCTGAAGCCAAAGTTTTTTTGTTGACGTGAAATCTGCTTTTCTCAATTCAGGTATCTTTGTTAAAAGACCGAGGTGGTGAGTGGCGTAGCGAGTTCGGGCTCGTCTACCTATTGTGCTACACATTGGGGAGCAGAGAATCAAATCCTCCAATTCTTCTCTGCAAACACTTTCAAGTCAGCATAGAGAGGCGTTATATCCAAGCGGTCTCTATCATGAGCTACTTTGGTCAGTAAATGATGCGACTAGAGTATGATTCAGCTAGAAAAAGCATGGCGTCAAGGACCCGGTGAAACGAGTACAAGATAGAAATCAGAAGTGTGATTCAAGACAGCAGTAATGGCGCGGGTTTTGAAGTGATGAATTCCATGCCGCACTCATATGAAAATACGAAAAATTACTGGCCGAGTACACCTGGTCTCATCCACATAACAAATCTGTATTCCAGGCTGAATTACGAGTTGTATCGAGCTTAGCAGTATCTCGTAGTATGGAACGACCACGGCGACTCAGACAGAGAACATAGTAACTTTCACGTTGACCTGTTTGAACTTGCAGTTATCGGTTATCCTAGTGGAAGATATTGAAAGTTGACCTGATCATTGAGCCAATACACCCACCGACCGAGGTGAGTATTCACGAGCCCACCACTCCAAAACCATCATCACCCTCACCTCCCATGTTCCTTCCCCTTCAGGCACCCACTTCATCTCAACAACTGCCAGACACCATCCACCCTCACCGTCCGCCCTCACTACCTAAGGCACAAAATTGCTTCAATTTTCCACCAAGGCCCATGGCGTGGCGGGGAATGTCCTCGTCTGAATTGCCCCGCTCCCATGGGTCACGAGTTCGAGTCTCGTGAAAAATCGCTGGTACCGTTACAACTGAGGAATAGTACGTAACAATGGTCTAGTGGTTTTCGTAGGCCCCCCGTGAGGGGGGCTGAGCTTTTTGCACTCTGCGTATGATGGATTACCTACCTACCTGCTACCTGCTGTTATTCTCCTTGCTTTTTGCTCAGGGTAGTCAAGGGGTTGTAAATGTCTTACGGTGGGTGTACCAGGGTGAAGGTTGGTCATTCCGGGACCTCGATATCGTACCAGCTGCTCAAGCTTGTACGAATGTTCTCCCTCAACAATCTGGGTTGATCAAGGTGGCCTGGATGGAAACGGTCGTGCTCCGTGGGCTGTTCTTCTCTCACCAGAGTAGGACGTGACTAGTATTCATTGTCCAGTCTAAGACGTGGAAACAAGCGGTGATGATGTTGATTGTACGAAAAGCAGAAGGCAACCTAAGAAAAGAATTGCCTAGACAGACGAATAGCGGAAACAGGGCCTCAAGTACAGTCATCTCTGCAAGAAACACATCATTGAATAAGTTCTGGTATATACTCGTAACACTTTATTATGCGCCCAAGACGCCGTTGCTATGTCTGCAAAGACCTTTAAACTCCAGATATGCCCGACAATGCCATCTCCCCTCGTGGCGACCATGGCGTGATTTCGTGAGCGCCGCCCGAGCTGGCCGGGCTGGCTGAATATGATAAACCATAACATACGTAACAATGCAGAGTCCACTCTCGCTGCTGAAGTGCACAAAACTCCATCGCCGTCGACGAATGTAGTCCTTCAGTGTCGTCGTCTCTTGGATTCGTCAATCTCTTCACCCATTTCCATTGGATTGGCAGGGTCAATGTAGGCCGACAGTCTAGTATCACCCCACCGAGCGCCAACAGTTACCCAGACTCCCTTGATAAAGCTGTTGCCCATGACGGTCTCGCGGTGGCCTCCCCAGCGCAGTCTGTGGTCACGGTCCATAGCGCTGTTACCCAGACCGCCATTTGTGACCCATTCCTTGATTGCGTTCTTGATGAATTCGATCTTGCGACGGAAGTCATTAGCGACGGGAATTCCCTGCAGTTCGGTGGGAATCTCCGGACGCCGGCGTGATGTTGTGGTCGGGCGAGTAGAACGAGCCGCCGAGGGCTTGGCCTGGAAGTTCAACAGCGTCTGCAGAGGGTAGGACAACATGGCCCTCTCGTCAAGAGCGGCAGCGCCCAGGCTGCCAGTAGTGGCAAGGTTTTGCGCCGCATCCATGGGAAGGTGCCAGAAGTGACACCAGGTCCCTGCGGCGTTCAAGACGATCTTGGTGTGATCGGGGAAGTTGAACTGTTACTCTGTTAGCCACGTCACTTTACTATTATACGACCTAAGCTTACCTGAAGGTGGCCATCGCCAAAGACCCAGCAGCCAACATCGCCGAAGCGTTGGTAGAATGTGACCAAATCAGAAGGCTGTGAGTTGTTGACAGAGAACTCCATCGGCCGAGTGACAGTTTCCTCAGCGGGGACTGGCTCATCTCTGCCATAGGCAATCATGTAGTTGGCGAACTTTTTCCAGAGAATCACGCGCTCTCGCTTTCTGTGTTCATAGACATCCTTTCCGGGGTTCAGCTTTCCGGGAGTCCCGTCTTCGTGAACCGGTACACGGAACTGCTTCGAGGAGACAGAGACTCGAGTGAGACCTGCCTCGCCATTGTTCTCGTAGAAATGGATGTCTTGCGTGGGCGGCAGTGGTTGATGTCTCTCGGGGTACGACTCGTCATGACGTCGCTCAATGTGTCGCTCAGCATCACGCACAAGCATGCAAGCCGAAGGCAGTGTCAGAGTCTTGCTGGCCTCGGTCGTAGGAATGTCTCTCAAAATGCACCCGACACCGCCATCATTCAAGATATAGCCAAGACCGAACTTGTTGGTGTAGTCGACCCACTTCACCACCACGTTGGGATGAGGCGGAGTGGTATCCTTGGAAGAGATGATGGCCATTGTTCGAGCGTTAAGGGCACGCTCCAACTCTGTTTGCAGTCGGCGAAGTCGCTCAAGAATGACATCCGGCTTCGAGCCTGCTACCGGCTCCGCGGGTTCAGCTGGACTAAACAATGAAGCTCTCTCATTCTGGTCGGAAGAGATCTTGAGATTCTCCAACAGCCCGGTCATGGTGACTGTGGCTTGGTTTGAAGACTGAGACGACATGGTTTGAGATGACATGGCTTGGACGGGTAGAGCGCCTGTCGACTGTGATGTCGGCAGTGGTGTTCTTCGCGCACTCGACTTCCTCAACGGGGCTTCCGCAAGCTGGTTCGTCCGAGACTCGGGCGCACTATGCTGTCTAACGGATCTTGGGCGAGGTGCCTCTGCAGGCTGAAGAGGCTGGGCGGGGGCTTCTGCAGGAGGTCGGGGTCTGGCAGAACTGGTAGAGCTGGTCATCACCGGAGGTCGGTTCTGTGCTCTTTGTTGAGCCGCAAAACTCTGAGGAGGTTGGCGCAACAGGCCTGTCGGCGCTGTTTGCGAAGTTGTTAATTGAGACTCTGAAGCCGCATCAGGACGCGAAGACGCCGAGGCAGCAAGAGCACGAGCATGTCGCTTCTCACGGAGCCAATCGTCGAATGGCCTGTAGACGACGTCCTCTCCCAGGGGAATCATGGGAGTCAACCCAGACTTCTCCTCGGCAGCCATTTCTTTCCATGTCTGAGTGTGAACAACCTGTACCGGTGTCCACGGACCCACGCCGCAGTCTCTGCACATGTCCTCCATGTTTTTCTTGGTGACCGCTTGCAGTTGGGCACTCATGCGGTTGGTGTAGAATTCCGAGCCGTCGGGAGGCAGAGTGAGGAGTCTAGTCGTGATATCGGCCTCAACAGGGAAGTAGCCGCAAGTGAAAAAGGGATGTTGAACGATGATGTCTGGATCGGGTCTCATATCCGCGTCCTCGAGCATAGTGGCTACACAGTCCTTGGCCTCTTCGCTGATGTACTTTTGCGTCGTCTCCGGGTTTGGCCATTCGTAGTCTCGTTCTCTCGCTCGGCGGTAGATTTCTTCGGTGCTGGTTGACTGAAAGGGTGGCTTGGATGTCAACATGGCAAACCTGGTTCGGTTAATAACGGCCCTGGAAA